GTTGGAAAAAGGATTTTGTTGCTAACAAATGGTTGATGGTTTTGGGCCCTAATATTGACCTGGACATGGGTTAGGGCCAATACACACGGGTACATTGGTTAGGGCTGATACACTTAAGGATATGATTGTACTGGACCCGGCACATCCCTGTGTGTTCAGTAAGAAGGAAGAAAGAGGTGTGGAGAGAAAATAATACAAGGAAAGAAAGGAGAATAGAAAGGATGACATATCCTTCCTCCTTTACAAATTTTCATCTGTTCAAAAATGGACAGAAGAAATGAGAGAAGATAAGTAGACTAATAGAAGTTTTTAATTAAATATTATCTTAAATTATACAAGTTTTAAATTGCAGTACTATCCTTTATAAATTATAATATTATAAATATTATTGAATATAATAATAAAAACAATTAAAATTTTCTCTTTCTTTCTCCTAACTAACTTAATAAATTATGAGTTTATCCTCTTCTCTACTATCCAACCGAACAAAAAGAAAAAAATATGCAATATATTCCATAAAGATGTCTTATTCATCTCTACTTCTCTCCCTTCTCTTCCATATAGATGTCTTATCCATCCATTCTTTTCTTACTTCCATCTGAATTTTTTTCTTTCCTACCGAACAGAGCAACCGACATTAGTGAGAAAAGTTTTTTTTTCTTGATTTTTATTTATTTTTTATGTTTGAGTCTTAGATTTAATAACTGTTTTGAGTCTTTGGTGGGAGGGAATAATTATATGTTTGTGGATTTCTAGATTCTAATGCCTTTTGTGCTTCTTTTACCTGATATGAGAAATAAAATAAATGTATTATTTGTTTTTGTCCTTTACCCTCTCTAGTTACTATATTTTTAATCTATTATTAAAAAATAATCACTTAGAAAATACTATCAAAATACTCGTTAAAGTAGTCACTTGTAGGGCCGGTTCGAGCCTTAAGCGACTTAGGCAGTTACCTAAGGCCTCAACCAATAAAAAGGCCCAAAATTTTAAAATAAAATTATAAATATTTCCTAATATTAATAAATTCTAATAAATATAAAATTTTTATACTAGGCCCAAAAAATTTATATCTTAAAATAACTTCTTTTTGTCTCTTTTCTTTCTTCTTCTCATTTTGATTTTATATTAGTTCTCAAATATTATATCATAAAATAACTTTTTTTTCCTCTTTCTCTCTCTTCTCTAATTCAGGTTTTATATTAGGCCTCAAATAAAGATTTACATCCTTATATAACTTTTTTTCTTTTTCTACTCCTCATCCATGTTTTTAAATACATCGTAACCAACAAAAAAATTTAATATTGGGCCCCAAAAATTCACATCCTTATATGACTTTTTTTCCTTTTTCTTTTTCTACTGCTCATTCAAATTTTTCAATACATCCTAACCAATATAAAAATTTAGTATTCCGTCCAAAAATTTGTATTATTAAATATATTTTTTTTTCTTCTCTTTCTCTGTCTCTCATTCACGTTTTTTTACACCAATACTAAAAAAACATTTAAGTAAGTTAAAATATTAAATATTTATTTAGCGTAGTTGTTTGGGGAAGTGGTGAAAACTTTTCATATTTATTTTTTTAATCTTTTATCTTCTTCTTTTTTAAACAAGTCTTCTTCCGCCCTCTCGTTTAGGGATGGCAACGGGGCAGGTTTGGAGCCGGTTTCCCTAAATCCCGCCCCGCCCCTTTTAATTTTTGTCAAGTCCATGCCCGCCCCGAAACCCGCGATGGGTTGGATTTTCATGTCCAGTCCCGCCCCGTTGGGAAATACTGTGCCCCTGTGCCCGCCCCGCTAACAAATTTTTTTTTTTTCCTACTTTTTGGAATTTAAGCTCCTGCTATTTAAATGTGGAAAGCCTAGGAATAACACAACATAAATGAAATTATGTATCCCAACAAAAATAAAAAAATAACATGCACATAACATAATTCAGAGAACATAATAAATAAAAATAAAAGTTTAATACAATTAAATCAGAAGAAGTTCTAAGCTTTAACTTCCACCATAACCAAAACAAAAACAAATTTAATACCAAACTTACATCCCAAATTAGGATTGTAAGAGATGAGTAACTATCAGGGGCGGCTCAAGCCTTAAGCGAGTTAGGCGGCCGCCTAAGGCTCCAGTTAATAAAAAGGCCTCAAAATATTATAGTTGCCTTGTATATGATATATTGTAATTGTTTCCTTATTCAATACTAATTCTAAAAAATTTATCTACTAAAATAACTTTTCTTTTTTTGTTTTTTCTCTCCTTATCATAATTCAGGCATTTTCATTAAACATTAAGCAAGAGAGAAATTATTTATCTCATAAAATATCTCTTTTTTTTTTTTTTTTTTTGGATCTCCTAAAATATCTCATTAATATATTTTTTCTTTGTTTATCTTATACACGTTTGTTTTTTTTACACCAACACTATATATATTTAATATTTTTTCAGTAAGTTGTACTACAATAAATATTTTGCCGGGGAAGTGAAGAAATTTTCCATATTCCCTTTTTTTAGATTTTTATTTTATTTATTTATTTTTTCTTATTTCTAATCCTCACTTCATTCTGATTTCTATCCTCTTTCAATAAACTCAACAAGTTACTCATGAGTTACAAGTCATCTCCCTTTGCACTTCTTAGTCCTCTCTCTTTACAACTTTACAATTTTTTTTTTTTCCAGACTCAATATTCATTAGTTTCAAATCTCAATTTGAACGCACTTTCTTTTATTGAAAAATTTGCAGCAGCATTGAATTGGAACTTTCTAAATTAGGTTATATTGTTCTTTTTTATTTAATTATTTTTTAGTTTTGCTAACTTTTGTTATTATAAATTTGTATATATCTATATTTTTCATATATTTGTATATTTGTTTGTAAGTTGTGAGTCATGTGACTATTTTTACCCATATTTTTTAATATGTCAGCTAGAAAGTATGAATCTGGATTTGAAATTTTTTTTTTAAAAAAAGAAGAATAGATAAACTAATTCAATCTTCGAAAGGGAGTTATTGATAAATTTGTTATAACTAATAATAAAAAACTAAAAAAAAATTTAGGATATGAAAATGTCACTTTTTATTTTTCGCGTAAGGCCCTTAGTTACGTCGAGCCGCCCTTGGTAACTGGGTAAGCCACTAAAATAAGTTATTAATATTATATATATATATATATATATATATATATATATTAAATATAGTTATATGCTTAGCGGGGCGGAGTAGGGCCCTAGGATATGTATACTGAACCCTTAACTGTCCCGTGACCCGCGACGGGTACAAAATTTGTATCCATGCCCACCCCAACGGTATAAAAATTGTTCCCATATCCGTTATTAACGGGGCGGGACGGGGCTGTAAAAATTGACATCCCTATTCCCTTTACAAATGCATGATTATCTTTCTTTTCCATTCCACTCATCTTTATTCTATTGAAAATTTTGTAAGTGTATTGAATTTGTGTTTTCTAAATCAGGTTCTATGGTTTTTTTTCTTTAATTATTTTTTAATTTTATTAATTTTTGTTATTATAAATATATATATATATATTTATATATTTTGTTTGTGAGTTATGATTCTTTTTATTTATATTGTTGAAAAGGTCACTTCTTATTTTTTGGACCCCAAATTAGATCGAGCAGCCCCTGGTCACTTGGTACATAATAATAATAGTAACAAATATATTTATTCCGTTTTTGTCAAAAATCCCCATATCAGAGTTGTTATATTTTAATCTAATGATAAAAAAATAATCACGTAAATAGTATCAAAATAGTAATTAGAGTGACTTTCTACGTAACAATAAAAAATACTCTCTCACAAGTTTTATCTTCATTCTTACATTAAACGTTTTATTATTTAAAAGGAAAGTTTTAAATAAACTGATTATCCAAAAGTAGTGATAATAGTCAATTAAATTTCATTCAAATTACTCTTTATCTATTTGTAAGTAACTTTCTTTGGATTTTTTTTTAACTAAAAAAAAAAAAAAAAACCTTTCTTTGGGTTTTCCTAATTCACAAAAGCATTTCGAATTAATTCAAACTGCTCTTATTTGTAGTAAAGATTGTGACTGTCAAAATGGACGTTACGTCTGGTGTACCAAATTCAACAATTGGCATGACAATGGAATCTGGTAATCTTATGGTTAGATTTGAGGAATTAGTTCAATAATTAGATTATTCTCAGGTGAATAGTGCGCGCATATATATATATATATATAGAGAGAGAGAGAGAGAGAGAGAAATTTGGAACGTGGTATAGGGGCACTGCATGTGTGCAGTCATAAATTATAAAGTGATTTAAGAGACCGGAAACTACCAACCAACTGACAACTAAATAAATAATAAAATTATTCAATCAAAACCAAGGATCTCTTCATCCAAATAATGCATTTGCATACTTTAGTATCCCATACAATTGGTGATTCGAATACCTCAACAATTGCATTTTTTTCATAGTTCAACTCTAATTAAGTCATATAAAGCGGGAGCAAGAAAGTAGTAGAATTAAGTCAAAAACAATGAGAATTTGAGCGAGAGCGCCTACAGAGCATAAGAGTAAGACCTCTCGAAAAGAATTATTTGACTTAGGTTCAACCTTGGATGTGTCTGTGTGTGTATATATATATAACTTGTTAAGTGGTCTCAACTCCTAAACCAAACAAATACCTAAGATCTCAGCTTGAACATTCCTAATCACACTTTATTTCATTATCAAATCATAAGTTACTGTCTCTTTGACTTCACGTACTTGGCTTACTCCAAAAGTAACAGCTTCAAGCCTTCAAGTCCATGAAAAGTTGAGACAACACACCAACATGTTGATCACCTACCCTTTGAAACTCCACACCATCAACTCTTGTCCTCCTACACAAAAAGGGTCAAACCAAATGCAACCCCAAAACAAAACACAACCCTACAAGTTTTCCATATATGGCTTCTCCTTGGCATATAATAAGTCCAAGCTTTCTGTGATTAACCAGTGGAGTTTCAGGAGCTAGCCATGGCTCACAATTGCATTGTGACTTTGGTTGTTTGTGTCGTGATCGTCAATTTGAGCTCTTTTGGAGAGGGTGATCAGAAATTAGGAGCTTCGTTTATCTTCGGCGATTCTTTAGTGGATGCTGGAAACAATAACTACTTACCAACCTTGTCCAAAGCTAATATTAAACCTAACGGAATTGATTTTACAGCTTCCGGAGGAAATCCCACCGGCCGGTACACCAATGGACGAACCATTGGAGACATTATTGGTAAGATATTTTTAATTTGGCATGCAAATTTATACGTATATATCAGAGTACTCCATTAATTTTAATTTTAATTATTATTATTTTTTTTAATGATGTGTGTGTGTATTTTTTATTTTTATTTTTTTTAAGGAGAGCAACTGGGACAACCAAACTATGCAATGCCATTTTTGGCGCCAAATACCAGTGGAAAAGCTATATTAGATGGGGTTAATTATGCATCAGGAGGTGGTGGAATTATGAATGCAACTGGAAGGATTTTTGTAAGTGCACAGTCATCTCTATTTGTCAGATCAAGTTCATGCATGCATGACAAGATAAAAACAACTGTTCGTGTTTCATTCATTAGATAAAATGGATCTCTATGATCTGACAATATTTGTTCGATCTCGTCCAGGTGAAACCATATGAGGTGTGTTCTCCATAGATTAAGTATACTTTATTGCATGTGGGTGTGATCCTTACTCCTTATGCACTAGACCGTCCATTACACAACAGAAGATCCGAGTTCTAGATTTATATATTAATGTAGTGAAAAAATTCTTTTATATTCAAGGGAAGGGGTGATACTGATAGTTAGCTGGGGTCATTAAGGGTGCAACTTGGGCATCCTAACTTTATGTTTTTTTTATGAGTTTTACCAACTGTTTATAGAGATTGATATATTTGAGTCGAAAAATCTCAATCCAAACTTAATTTATGTTAGATTATGTTTGAAGGGTTACTGGTGTGTGTGGTGGTGGTGGGTGACAATATGGTGGTGATGGAGGTGACAGTGTTGTGGTGTGGTTGGGGGAGGTGGTCATGACAGTGGGGGAGGAGGTGGGTGGTGGTGATGGACCGACGGTGGTGGAAATGAACATAATTAAAGTTTAATTAGATTAAAAAAAATTATAATTATTACTTTTAAAAAAGTATTCAATATAGTCATTTCATAATTAATGGCTAATTAAAAGAAAGATAATTACCTAAAATAACCATTGTTTCAATTAGCCGTATGATTAGATCCTAAGGTTATGAGTAAAAATGAATATATTGCCCTTGCTCGCCAGGGAACAATTGAACACTAACGTACTTTTACTATATTGCCCCCTGCTCGCCAGGGAGCAATTGAACACTAATGTATATACATTAGTGTTCAATTGCTCTCTAGCGAGCAGGGGGCAATATACTCACTTTTACTCGTAGTCTTATTTTTAAAAAAGTATTCAATATAGTCATTTCATAATTAATGACTAATTAAAAGAAAGACAATTACATAAAATAACTATTGTTTCAATTAGCCGTAGGATTAGATCTAAGGCTATGAGTAAAAGTGAGTATATTGCTTCCTGCTCACCAGGGAGCAATTGAACACTAATGTATATTGAAATAATGGTTATTTTAGGTAATTGTCTTTCTTTTAATTAGTCATTATGAAATGACTATATTGAATACTTTTTTTAAAATAATAATAATAATTTTTTTAATCTAATTAAACTTTAATTATGTTCCTTTCCACCACTATCGGTCCATCACCACCACCCACCTCATCCCCCATTGCCATGACCACCTCCCCCAACCACACAACAACACTGCCACCTCCATCACCACCATACTGCCACCCACCACCACCACACACACCAATAATTATAAGGACACCAATTAATTTGTAAATTTAGTAATTCTTAATGACTAATTAAAATAATGCTAATTTCCTAAAATAACTATTCTCTTCATAGTCATTGGATTAGATCCTAAAGTTATGAGTAAAAGTGAGTATATTATTCCCTGCTCACAAGGGAGCAATTTAACACTAATGTGTGTGTGTGTGTGTGTTTTTCTAGCAGTTTTTTTTTTTTTTTTTTAAATCCCGATTTATTGTATATTAATCCCTAGTTCAGAAATTTAATTTCTTGAGAACTTGCTTACAATTCACATTCAGTTTTTAGAATTTTTATGGTAAATAGTAATCAAACCTGACACTAACTCGAGATTAACCTGATCTTTATCCTAATTTTTCTAACCAGAGTTCAAATTATTGACTTCGCTTGAATTTGGGTTAGTGCATGAGCCTGAGTTAAAGGTCAATTAGATTGATGTTGCATTTCGGAGTATCAAATCAATACTTTGAATTTGGAATTGGAGAAAATTTAGTTCAAAATTTTAACTAAATTTCTTCCAATTCCAAATTTACGTCGTCAATTCAGTGCTTTCAAACATCTTGGCTTGAGCCTAATTACATCGACCGACTTATATATCATCCTCAAATGTAATTGTTGGATTAATTATGCATTCGTTTTTACAGGTTAACAGGCTTTCAATGGACATCCAGGTTGATTACTTCAACATCACTAGGAAACAGATTGATAAATTGTTAGGTGCATCCCAAGCAAGAGACTACATCATGAAGAAATCCATTTTCTCAATCACAATAGGCGCCAATGATTTTCTCAACAACTACCTACTCCCAGTCCTCTCCGTCGGAGCAAGAATCTCCGAGACTCCAGATGCTTTCGTTAACGACCTTCTTAGTAATCTCCGTGGCCAACTTACAGTACGTATATAACAACCAACACTAATATTTATCTTTATCTCATATGAATGGGGTAGGTCACATAAATTCTTGTTTTTTTCAATACTTTTTTTTTCATGGCAGCGACTTTATCAATTGGACGCAAGGAAGTTCATTATAGGAAATGTTGGACCGATAGGTTGCATACCTTATCAGAAGACGATTAATCGGTTGAATGAAGATGAATGTGTGGAGTTGCCGAATAAGTTGGCACTTCAGTACAATGCTCGATTGAAGGATCTTCTCACTGAATTAAATGAAAACCTACCCGGAGCCACATTTGTTCATGCAAATGTGTATGATCTTGTGATGGAACTCATCAGAAACTACGACAAATATGGTGAGTCTATTATTATTTCTTTTATTTTTTCTGAAAGAAAATTTTGTTTGGTTTGGAGAGAAATGAAACGAGAAGAAAAGAAAGGAAATAAAAGAAAAAATTATATTAGGTTTGGTATAAAAATTGAAAAAGAAATGAAAGAAAATGGAACAAATTAAAATTAAGAGTATGAATTCTCTGTTGTACCTTATATAAGTAGAAAACGGTTATGAACTTGTGATAGCACCTCTACATCAATAGTAGTTATGCTATTCTATACAGGAGCAATTACTACTTACTTTCTCCTCCTCCTCCTTTACAATTGAATTCCAATTTTACCCTTATTACTCTCAAAATAAAACCAACAATCATTTGTTCTCTATTCTTTCTCGCCAATATCTTACCCAAACGCATAAGGTTAATACTATCATTTTCTTTCTTTTCCTTAATTAATTAACACCTAGATGAATTGATTTATCATTTAACAGTTTGCATGAAATATTATAAAATATTGAGTTGTTGGGAAAAAATCCAATCCGCAAAACCAATTCGATCTACTTCGTAAAAAGGTTTAATCTGATCCAATCCGATCCAATCTATTAAATGACCAATTCAATTGGATTCAATTTTTACCAATCCATAAAAATTGGATTGGATTAGATTTAATGCCTAATCCGATTCGTGCTCACGCCTACAAAATACATTCCTCAACCATCAATTGTTGCAAATTAGACCCACTGTCATTTTCTTTTCTTACTTTTCTCTCTTACTAATGTTATCTTCTTCTTCTTCTTCTTCTTTTATTTTTATTTTTTTTAATTAAAGTAATGTTATCCTTTCTTCCTCCTATTATACCAAACACAACCTTAGTTTCTCTCCAACTTCGATCTTGTTCAAAATTAGGTGGCATAACTTGTGTCTTTCATTTCAAAATCAAAATAGTCAAAACCAGGACGATTATATTTCAATGTACATCTTTTTTGTTGGACCTCATAGTGTTGACAATACTATACACTAATAAATTAAGTGGACTAAATGATAGAAATTGCTATGAACATTAACGTTTGAAAAACTTGCAGGATTTACAACAGCAAGTAGGGCATGTTGTGGAAATGGAGGCCAATTTGCAGGGATCATTCCTTGTGGACCTACTTCGACCATGTGTTCGGACCGTTCCAAGCATGTGTTCTGGGATCCTTACCACCCCAGTGAGGCTGCCAACATTATCATTGCCAAACAGCTGATCGCCGGAGACCCCAAATACGTATCTCCGATGCCTATTGGACGACTCCGGGATCTTTGAAACTGTTTTTTCACCATATATTGTGTATGCAGGCATCTTGGAGCCTTCTATCTCCTTGATTTGATTTTTTTTTTTTTTGTTTGTTTGTTTCTTTTCTTACATGTTTGTGATAATATATGAGAAATTTAGAAGTTCAATTCCATCAATCTAAAAGAAAATTGCATGACATACCCTTTCTGCAAAAATAATATAAAACCTTAGTACCCATAATCATAATGGACAATGCCAACCTTGTCAAAGTATATTGTTAGAAGATTTAAGGAATGTGATAGTGAAATGACATAATTGTACGTTCTTGATTTAAATCATGAAAATCAAGTATGAGATGGCATTGACATAGTTTGGTTTAAGAAAAAAACACATAAAAAATAAAAAAATAAAAAAAATGGAGTACATTAAAAACAAGTTGGAATGCATTATCACCTCACAAGTTTAAAATTTCAATAAGTTCAGGTAAGTGTATTTATCCGAAACACAATAGAAGTCTGTATTTTTCTCTAGTTAAAAGGGAGATAAGTGTAATTATTATTTCTCTTTTTATATCTTTGGAAATAAATAAAATAAAATATTCATTTTTGCTTTTACGAAAATTTGAATCTTCAACTTTTTATTTTGAATGATTAGAAATAGATCCACAGGGCTATTATAAAAAAAAAAAAATTGAGATGATGTAACAATAAAAAAAAAATTATGTTATTAAAAGAGTTCTCTCAACACAGCTATTATAATCTAAAGTAACACATTTTTAAAAATATGTAAAAAAATAAAATAAATCATTTAATAAATACCCAATAGTTAATTAAAAAGAACTTATTGTTCTCAAGAAAAATTTTATTGTGCCCGTTGCACCGATGCATCCAGCAATCATTATTTAATACACGCCCACTAGTTACCTGATGTACCGGGTGCAATGAAATTTGTTCCGGTGACAACATTACCCTAATTTAAAACTTAAATATCTTAGGCATTCTATTCTTGAAGATTCGCAAAAAAATAAAAGATAAACCAATATGTAAAATTAAAAAGCTTTTCTTGCTTTTCTCATTGTTACCCGTATTTTCTAGCAATTTACCAAACAGAAGTTAAAAACTATTTCCTTTCTTCACTACTTTTTTTTTTTTTTTTTTTTTTTCCTGCAAACAAACAAAATCTAGGACCAAAATATAATAAAATGAATAAATAAACAAACTTATATACCTCTGTTATAATATTTCAACTAATTTGGCTAGCTTTAAATTCATTCTGTAATGGGGGTATTGAAAATCAACTTTGTTAATTCCAACTTTAAGATATATATATATATATATATATAGATAGACAGTTACAGATACAGAAGATTGGAATTGTTGAAAAATTCTGAAACATAATTGAGTTGGCATGTGGGGAATCATGTGGGTGAAGGAAACGGTCAAACACAAAGAGAATTCGAGATCAGGATCGAACCAAGGCAGACATGTTGTCTACTTATTAAAGGCAACTCAATGAACTGTCCTGAAAAAAGGATACTACCACCAGTCCCCCCTCCTGCAGGGTTCTAGAGAGGGAAACGAAGATACGTGTCTCTGTATAGAGAGAGAAACAAAGATACGTGTCGATATAGAGAGAGAAAGAGATAGTACTGTTTACTGTGTTGGTGTAGGGGGATCTCTGTAAAAACTGGGCAATTGGAAAGCGACGTATGAGAGCGTGTATCGGCGACATATAAGAGATCAAGCGCGCGTGCGATCGGATGGTACAAATCTCCCGACAAGACCTGCCAATTACTGACACGTGTCAGTCTGCGAATCACCCCACTCGGCCACAGCTAAGGAGTAACGTTTTTTTTTTAAAAAAAACCAAAAATGTTAAATTAAAAGTTAAATGTATGAAATCATATGGCCGTGTTGCCTGCGCGCGAAAAAAAAGAGACTCTGTTCATATTTTTTATTTTTTGAATTTGTTGTGGTAAAATATTATAACTTAATAAAAATAATTTATCTATTAATTGTAAACAAGTTATTTTATTTACTGCACTTGATGAATTCGACCACCATCTTAATTTAGGCATTTGTCAAATATAAAAAAATAAAATTAATAATTAACCTAAAAAATATATATTTTACGATCAAAACTAATGGATAGGGTAGGTTTGTTTTGAAGTAAATATTTAAGAAATAAAATATATTAAAAGTTGAAAAAAATAATTTACCTATTAATGTTTTGACAAGTTATTTTACACGTGTCACTCGGTGACTCAATCTTAACCTAGATCTTTGCTAAGTATTGGAAAATAAATAAATAAATAAAATATATTTTATGTGAAAAAGAAAAGAAAAAAATTTACAGAGCCTAAGGACTTGTTTGGTACGAGTTTTATTTTTGAATTTTATTTTAACCGGAATCAAAATAAGTGTTTTGGTGTAAAGTATTTTGAATAATAATTGAAAATATGTTTGGCAACGTCCATTTGTTGCAAGATTTTTTGAAGTAAAAATATGAAAACATATTTAGTAAAAAATGTTACAAATTTAAAAATTTTAATATTTTAGTTTAAATATATCATTGAAGATTTTTTTTTTTAATTACTATTTATCGCTACAATAACAAGCTGTTTTTATTTTAAAAATTACTATTCATCACTACAATATCAAATATTACCGTAAAAAAATATATAAAAAATATTAAATTAGTGTTCCGAGTTTTGACTTTTTAGTAAACATATTTTTTTTCACTCTTAATTAACAAAACATGTCCCAAGGGAGAAAGCTACAGTATCTAGCTTGAGAGCAAGAGTACGTGTCCATATGAGAAGGCACCCCAGAAAAATTGTGACTCAAATATATGATGGATGGTTTGAAGGATAAGGGGTGTTTGGGGAATGAGATATAATTGAGTTGCGTACGTGATTGGTGGTGTTGAGAGAGCGATAATTCCGGCAAAGGAAACAGAGAGTACGGAATTGAAATGAGATGGGAATCTGGAGGGAAAAAGGAAAAGGACAGGTTCCGAAATCAGAGGGGAGCAAATCAAATAATTGCTCTTCCCACGCTAGTCCGGCACTCATCATAATGCTTCTAACCCTATTCCCATTTTCCATCCATCAATCTCTATCCCAACTTATAATGTCCCAATTCTATAGTTCAATTTAATTAGGACTGTGCCGACACATGCCCATGTCAACATATGATGAATGAGATGGGTTCATTGAATCTTATATGAAAAATATTTTTAAAGTCGATGAGTTGAAGTGTTTATTATTATTTTTTTTGAAACATTTTTTATTTAATCACTTACAAATATGAACAATTAAAAGTGTTGGATCAAGCAATTCTCTTTAACACTTTGACCTAAACTATTCAAATTTTATTGATCAAAGCAATTTTATGTAATTTTGTATATTGCACTATTAAATTAGATGGGTTTCTCGAATTTTATGACCTGAATATAAAAATTTTATTGATCAGACCGTTGAATAAGATGGGTTCACTAATTATTACGGTATAAAAATTGCATCAATGTAATTTTGTACATTGCACTAAGTCGACTTAACCATTGAATGAGATGGGTTCATTGAATCTTATAACTCTTATGATCTGAAAACTTTATGCATCTGAATTCTATGTAATTTTGTACATTGTACTAAGAATTAGTGATACAAGGAATCCAACTTTGTAATAGTTGAATGATGTTGATTCTTAGTGAGTTTTGTGTGAAAAATATTTTTATTTAATATATGAGATTTGATAGTCACACTTATATTGACAAAAACACTAACGTATGGGGTTCATTGAATCTTATGACTCCTATGGTCTGAAAATTTTATTCATCTTATCAATAGGCGAGTGATCTAGCAGTACCAGGACCTTACATCTTAAAAAGAGGTAAGAAATTCGAGCATCAGTGGAAGCATTTGTGTGTGAGTATTAGCTAAGAAAAAAAATTTTGCATCTTAATTCTATGCAATTTTGTACATTGCACTAAGGATTAGTGATACAGGGAGTCCAACTTTGTAACAGTTGAATGCTGTTGGTTCACAATGAGTTTTGTGTGAAATATGTTTTTATTTAACATATGAGATTCGATAGTCACGAGTATATTGACAAAAATATTCACATATTCACTTACATTTTTTATTCGCAGTCGGGCTCAAACCCTTACCGCTCCGCATAATGGTTTGAAATCCTGATGCTGAAAAAAATAAAGTTACACCCTAGAGAGCTTCTATTTTTATTCGATACTGACAAAAATCTTTGCTTGACACTATTTATTGAAATTACATTAAAAAAAATGAATCATTGTTTGTAACATTGCTTGTATCCATGTACTATTTAAATATTATAATTAAAAAGTGTGATTGCTTGCTTCATTAAGGGTAAAAAGTGCAACTTACCAAGTATGAATAAAATAGGTTTAGTGGCAGTTTTATAATAGAGTATAATATTGGCAAATCATTTGAAAGAACTCAATGAGTGTTAGGTGTGTTAAATTATTTAAAGATGTGAATTATGATTTGTTATTAAATAGAAAATGTGAATTGTAATTATGTCCCATAATTTTGAATCAAGTGGCTCTATAATTTGCTTTCAAATTTCATTCAAATTTGAACATAATAGCATTATTTAGGGTCTGTTGGTACACGTTTTGCTTTAATTCATAATAAAATAAGTATTTTGTTTTATGATTGTTTTAAATAATAATGGAAAGAGTGTTTGGTAACGTCCATTTGTTGTAGGATTTTTAGAAGTAAAAATATGAAACATATTTGACAAAAAGTATTGCAAGTTTAAAAAATATAATAATTTGTTTAAAAATATTAGTATCATTTAAGAATTAACGTTCATCGTTATTGTACCAAAATATAAAAACAAAAAATTGTGTCTCAATTTTTAATCACTATTTACGAAACTTTTTGACACTATGCAAAAATAAATAATTTTTATTAAACACGTTTTTACCAACAAAAACAAAAGAAGTACAGTATTACTAATTAGCATAAGAAGTACTGTGATGACGACAACAATCCAAAATGACGCAAATAATAGATTACATTGCAATGCAAATTGTACAGTCCTAGCAATTCAAAGGAAAAGAATCACAATTGCACCATCCGAGATCTGCACAATTCAAGAAAATTACTCACTTTAAAGTAGAATAAATATCAATACCCATTGTTTTTAAAGTAGAATAAATACATTTGATGACGAAAAATGAAAAGTAAAAAGTTCTCTCATTAGGAATTTATTTTTCCTTGCTACAATCAAAACTAGATTGTTTGTTATAGTTGTAAAACTACTACATTGCCCTTTGGAAAGGATGGCTCACTCATCATTCATTTAATAATACCGAGTTATAATAATAATAAAAACAACTTATATACATATATACACACACACACACACACACACACACACACACACACACACACACACACACACACACACACACACATATATATATATATATATATATATATATATAAAGCTATCCAAAATATAAAATAATACTATTTCACAATTTCTTTACAAAAATCATTCTAACTAAATGATTGTTATAAATGTAGTTTTTATTTCATTCACTTTCAATTTCTTCCATTTTCACTATCAATTATTAATTTCATCTAATCAAACCGTTATAAATTATATAAAAAAAAAATCAATACAGAGTTCGAATTCTTTCAACAATATTTTACCATATAATCATTCTTATCTATTAATTTCTCAATCAACAATACAAGCATGGAACACGTGAATGAAAAATGATGCAAGAGTAAGGCGTCTCTTAAGTGAATCGTAAACTTGAGTAATTTAAATTTGATTCTCATAAGGTGCAAAAACAACTAGTATAGATAATATGTGTGATTTGTGTATGATTGTGAGTTTGAGATTTTTTATTGGCTAGAAAAAAATAAAAAACAAAAATTGGAAGAGGACAAACCTATAAAAAAAACAACTTGTTAAGGTTGGCTTGAGGGTTAGGGGAATAGGGAAAGAGAATAAAATCAAGGGAATTGGGACAATTTGAGGTCAATTTTGTCATTTAAGCTGTTTGGATAAGAAATTGACCTTAATTTGAATTTGTAGTACTATAAAAAAAATAAAGAGCCGTCCGATATAAGGAGCCGACGCAAACAGAGTCTCTTTCCGAGCCGACTGAAAAATGTGGCGCCACTACGTACCACAGTCAACAGAACTCTGCAAAGCTGTTCCACTCTTTGGTACTACACATAACCCTTTAGAAATTAGAACTCAGGACCTGTTTCACTAGACAGAATCTCTCTCTCTCTTTCTCTCTCCTATTCTTTCTCTCTCTACAATCTCCCATAAAACCCCCTTCAGTGAGTTCCTTAAAGACTGAAGCACCATCTTAACTCACTCTCAATTCTCGTTACCAACCTCTCATTCTCTCACCCGTTCAACACTGACACTTCGAGACAGAAGAAACCCAAAAATGCCATCAGATTCCGGCGAGCAACGACGACCCACGAAGGCCCACCTCGCGGGCGCGCCACCGCCGGAGCCGGAGCACCTTCCGTGCCCGCGCTGCGAGTCCACCAACACCAAGTTCTGCTACTACAACAACTACAACTTCTCTCAGCCCCGCCACTTCTGCAAGTCCTGCCGCCGCTACTGGACCCACGGCGGCACCCTCCGCGACATCCCCGTCGGTGGCGGCAGCCGCAAGAGTGCCAAGCGCTCCCGCACCGCCGGCACCGCCTCCGCGACTTCGGCCTCCTCCACTCAAGACCACCACCACCATCATCACCACCACCACATGGGTCCCGCCGCTTCGCCTGTTTTGTTCTCGGTCTCGGCCGCAGACGGCGGAGGGACGGTGGCGTTCGGCGGTGATGCCAAGCCTGGTATGAACTTGTCCGGGGGTTTCAGTTCTTTCTTGGGCACTCAAGGGCCTGGGTTCTTGGCATTGGGTGGGTTTGGGCTTGGCGTTGGGCCTGGGTTTGAGGAAATGGGCTTTGGGCTTGGAAGAGCGGTTTGGCCCTTTTCAGGGGAGGGTGTCGGTGGTGCAACCGTTGGCGGCGCCGGCGGCGGTGGCGGTGCAAATGTGATTGGAAACACGTGGCAGCTTGAGAGTGGGGAAGGTGGGTTTGTCGGTGCTGGGGACTGCTTTTCTTGGCCAGATCTTGCTATTTCCACACCCGGCAATGGTCTGAAATGATGGGTTGTTTTTTTGTACTGCCACTTGTTTCTGCAGGGTTTAGACTGTTGATTTAGCTATGAAATATCAAAACTGAAAAGAAGTTTGTGAGTTTTTTTTAACTCAATACTGTGTTATTTTCATTTTATCTCGTGTGACGTGGCATGAAATATTGGGTTGACATGTTATCAGATAAACTTGTTTTATGACATGACCTGGCATAATAGCACTCCCATTTTACATGTCACACTAACAATGTTTAATTCATATGGTATAGTATTCAAATATCATAATTTAAATTCACATGTCCCTTAAAAAGAGGCCAGTGTCAATATTGAGTCAACCTTCTATCACCAAATAGAGTTATTTAAATTTGCAAAAGCAAATGCTACTCAGTTGAAATGATACATTCATGCGATGGCAATTTTTTAGAAAAGGGAATTAAAATTCTCTTCGGTTCCGTGCATCAATCAATGATGGTGATGGACACCCCTATTGTCACATGATGGGTCTTGATTGTACACCGAACCTTTCCAGTATCGAAGAAGATGAAGGTACTTTAAAACGTTAAGGGAGAATAATGTCCGGGCAACCGGTGCCGCGTAATGGGACCTCACGGCAGCCATGGAAGCATTCAATGTCACAAAAAAAAGGTGGATGAGGATTGCCCAGCTCATGAACCTAGGGTTCAAAACTAAAAGGTGCTTTGGTGCAGCTGCAATGCAAAGTACAGTTAACAGTAGAGATATAGGTCTGAAACAGCACAATAATACACAACTGAGCCAAGACAGGAGTGAGCCTCCAAATTACAAAGCCTAAGGACAGTCCTTGGGGCAAGGGATTGCTTGGACACTCCAGACATAATAAGAATACATTGCATCCAGATTTGAACAGACCAACTTCAGATTAATAGTTGCGACCTTTACTGGCTTGGTTGTTGAGCTTAGTAATAAGCCAAAAAGTTTTTAATTACTTTTTAAAATTGACACTGCTACATATTGATGTTGTCTATCATGATATTTATTACAAAAAATTCGAAAATAATATAAATGTCGGTAGGGATTTTGTACTAACCTAATGCCAGTGAAACATTTAAAAATGAGAGAGCGTCATTTCTTATCTTTTACGGATAAAGAGTTCTTGTTGGACTATATTTATTGGAATCGCAACAAAAACTCTTCAGTTTTTGTATCATTACTCAAAAACAAAAAAAAAAAAATTATAGGAAGACAAATTTTTGAACACTCAGAAGTGAATTTTCTTGGAAAACAGAAGAATATAATTACCACATTCACATGTTTATTGAGCAATACTAGGATCCATCATCTTCAACCCTCTTTTATACTTCCTATGAGGTAGCCCTATCTTTTTCATGCTGGTTGAAAGATGGACATTAAAAGACCAAAGTATTAGTGGAATAAGGCTAGAGGTGCTTATATATATATATATGTCTCTTTTAAATGACCATGTCTTGTTTTGAGACTACAAATTAAGCCAGGAGATAAACTCTGCTACCAATTACCTGTTTGAAGGAGCAAACCTGGAGCCACCTCAAAAGAAAATGATTCAAATATATATATATATAGCGAACCCCTTTGTAGTTTCGAGCCTTCGATCTCACCCCCTAATTAACTACTAACCTCTAATATTCTTGTCTTGAAATATATATATATATATATACATATATTATGGCATGGACTAAAGATGTATTCCATCCCATGCACACTAAACTAAATGGAGCTGGTGTGGCAGTTCAGTGTGCAAGAGATGGAATACACCGTAAACCCATGTACTCTTTCCACTGCTAAAGAAAGATTTCACAATGCAAGCAGCAAGAAATTTCTCTCATTTTATCCCTTATTAAAAACCTTCAAAGAGAGAGATGGCAATTTATAGAGATAAAATAGGCCGGATTGACTAAGAAAAAGCCAGTCTGCATTAGTGGGGAATATTTAATAATTATGACTTGTTGATTCTTAATTATTAATTTGAAGATTAATAAAAATTAGATCAAGTTAGTGTCTTGATCATGCTATTGATCCTTTATTTGTGAGTAACTTTTGACCACACATTGATGGGAAATGCTCCATGATGTGGATATCATCGAGCCTACGCACCCGACATTATGCAAATGGAGATTATGAAGGGTCTTAATCACATTAGTGTTTTTTATTTATTTTTGACAATTCCAATATTATATTCATTAGGGGTTGAGTTGAACATTAGATGGCATTTTCAATGTCGCACATATACTTCTTAAACATGTATCTACAAGTTCAATCATCTTGAAAATTTGAGTTTGCACGGTATGAAATGGACGAAGTTTGTATTAAAAAGAGTTTAGAATCAAACATACAAAGTAAAAATAAAATACAAATAAAGTAAATAAAGTTTGAGAGATGACGTCATGATTTTTAATGAAAAAAATTAATTGAGAATATCTCGAGGGCTTTCGCGAAACGATCCATTATATATGAAGCAAAATAAAATGGACTTTGACTTAGGCTAAAACCTCTCACTCTACCAAGACCTAATTTGTTGAACGTCTCTCGCTTTGCGGCTCCCTCATCCAACAACTCTTGACTTTAGGTTTGCTCCCTTAACTCTTGTAGAAGGATTACCCACTTCTCGGAATAGTTGACTATTCAATTATGCTCTACATTCAATCAGATAGAGAACATCATCTTTAAGTCACTCTTGTATTTATGTGTGTATCTCAAACAATTCTCTTAATTAGAAAAATATAAATTTTCAAGACCTAAAACTTTTGGAGAGAAAGAGAGTTTATATAGGATTTTTAGAGACCTAAAAATACCTGGAATTAAGACAAGTTATTTTTGTGCATAAACATCTCCCAAAATCTCATAAAAAAAGGAAACCAAGTTGAATTATAATTACAACTTCTATATTGGTTTAAGGACAACACAACTAATTCCGTTACGCAAGACCAGTGTGAAATTTAACAACTTGAATTTTAGGTAACAACATGGTAGTGAGTTACCTTCCAAAAAACGTATTTAAAAAAAAACACTTGTGCAACCGGTTCCGTTTGACGCGACTAGTTCTGCTACACGAGTGAATTTTTATTCAGAAGTCTTAAATTTGTCTTTAAAGCTTCACATTTAAAGTTAATGAAACTTATGTTCAATGTTTGTTTTGATGCATTTATTAGCTTAGTTATTGTATCGTCGGAGTTAATGTTCTGACTTTAGTAGAAACTAGATTGTAGCTTTAGAGACTATTGTTAGCAATCATGTAATCATAATGTGTAATTAATCTTTACTATACTTTGTTCGAATATTGATTCAATATGCTTTGTTAAGTTGGTGATGAGAAAGTTACTTTACCATAATATATCGCCTTGACTCTCACTCTACTTAATGGACCAAATTTAAATTTGCAGGTAGAATGTATAAATGATACCAAAGGGCCTTTAATATAATGGTATAATCTCTTCATCTTCAAAGTAGAGGGGAAGGATTTGAGTCTAAGCGTGAGCAAAAAAGTGTGTGTTAGCTTTACCATTAAAAAAAAAAAGAAAAAAAAAAGGGGTATAACTGATATTTATTTTACCTTGTTCAATGATCGATCTTAATCTAATTAGACACACACACATATATATATATTTTAAACATTATTAGACATACTTAATGACGTCATTCCCGCACACATAAAGTAGTCAGGTATATTCTATTTTTAAACTATTTATTATTAATTTTTTTTTTTAAAAAAAAGACTAATCCAATGAGGCTCGCATGCACGCCGGAGGGTTTTTTAGACTACTCTATTTTAGTCCTCAAATTCAATTACCAAAACGGGCGAGGTGACAGGTTTGGGCCTATGGACTGGTTTATTATAAATTTGGGCCTGAAAGTCAAACAGTGGGCTAAGCAGGGACATAATATATCTTCTCTTTTGGAATGAGAGAATTAAATACAACTGAACAACTCAGTGCCCTACCCCATATAATTTTTCCCCAAACAAGGCTGGCCTTTTCTCTGCAATTCCCTCGCTAGGGTTTTACAGAGGTTTTCTTCGACCAATTCAGATTTCAATTTTAGCGCCAAAATTAGGAAATTTCTCCCAATTTTAGATAACTCCTCCGCGTGAACTCCAAGAAAGTTTAGGGCAGAGAGACAGAGAACCAAAAATGGCGTTCTCGTTCACGCCACAGCAGCAACAACAGTCACTGTTCCAACCCCAAACCCAGCAACAATCGCCTTTTCAACAAAGCAGTCCGTTTTTTCAACCACAACAACAGCAACAACAGTTTCAACAACAGCAGTTTCAGCAACAGCAACAACAGGTTCAACAACAGCAACAACAACAACAACAACAACAACCACAACAGCAACTTTATCTCTTCACGAACGATAAAACCCCTGCCACTTACGGCACAAAGTGGGCCGATCTCCATCCCGATTCTCAGAAAATTCTCCTTCAGATCGAGTACGCTCCAATTATATATATGCACGTGTGTTTATATATATATATATATATGTATGTATATGCTATGGATTTATTTTTAAAGAAGTTGAATTTTATTCAATTTAGGGTTCTTGGTTCTTAACTACGTTTTCATGGATTTCCGGGCTTCAAGTGTTGAATAATTATTTGCAAAAATGTTGAATTTCATTCAATTTAGGGTTTTCATGGGTTTGCGGGCTTGAAGTGTTGAATGATTATTTGTAAAAATGTTGAATTTCATTCAATTTAGGTTTCTTATTCTTAGCTACGTTTTCATGGGTTTGCGGGCTTCACGTGTTGAATGATTATTTGTAAAAATGTTGAATTTCATTCAATTTAGGGTTCTTTGTTCTGAGCTACGTTTTCATGGGTTTGCGGGCTTCAAGTGTTGAATGATTATTCGTAAAAATGTTGAATTTCATTCAATTTAGGGTTCTTTGTTCTTAGCTACGTTTTCATGGATCTGCGGGCTTCAAGTGTTGAATGAGTTTTAATTATTAAAATGTGACCTTTTGATTTTCCTTGCATTCTGTATTTTTTTTTTAATAATAATTTTATATTTATAATATGACTGCATTATTAAAATGTTGAATTTCGTTCACTCTATTTGCGGGCTTTGGGTGTGAATTGGGTTCTATTAATCAAAATGTGACATTTGAATTTTCTATAAGTTCTTTATTGTTGATTAATTTTACTAGTTCAGTTTTGATGTGATTGCTCGTTGGGGTTTGAGTAGCTAAAGTAGTGGTTTGTGGGTAGGGAGAAAATACTGGAGTATAGGGATGAAAGTCAACGGCTGGATCAGTGTAGCAGACTCTATGATTCATCGGTGTCCAATAGTGGCTTCGAGCTTGATGCAAGTTATATTCATCAGGTTTTACTTCTTTCTCCACTTAAATTTATTTTCTATTCTATATGGTTGACTGTTGATGTATTTGGAGCACATGATATATACTTTTATGTTGAATTGAAATAGTAATTTTTCAGGAAATACTCTGCTAACTTGAATAAGCAGCCAACTGTCCTTCTTTATGCGCAAATGAACTTTATATTAAGAAACCTTTTTATCTCTGTCTAGTTTAGTTACATATATAAACATTTTGGATCTTTTCCAAATTAAAATACGCGTGAGGGATATGAATATTGGTGATAAGTTGACACTGCAAACTCTTATTCCAACTATTCCTCCTTTCAACAGATATTCCATTTCTAATTATGTTATTTGATTCCAGAAATCTGTGTTATCCGATCCCAAATTGAATTGTTTTCACGTGGAAGGCCAATGACTAACCAAAAGCTTGCGCATTCTCAAAACACACTGGCAGGTCTCCTATCTTAGCTTTCCTCTTGCCATGATAACATTAAACCCTCCATAAAACAAAAATTGGTTCGACGGTCAGCCTTCTGCCCCTGGAGAACAAAGCAGAAGTTAAGGCCAAGATTTTCCCCAAGTGTCATGGAGTTCCAGCTAGGATGGGGCTACCAATCATCCGCTATTATTATCCTCCTCCTTCTGAGATAAATGCTAAGTTGCAAATTGAAGTACTTGACCAGATATTTGTGAGAGAAAATTTGGAATAAGGAGAAACTGAAAAGGTGCCTTTTTATTTTAATTTTATATAAATTTATAACTAATTTAATAATCTACTTAACATATCAAAGAACTTTGTTTGTCTTTTCACATTCAGAGTAGTTTTGAATCTGCATTGTACCACCTAGAGGAGAACTAGTAATATTGAAGAGGTAGATTTGATCAGACACTAGGTTTGAAGCTACAACCCAGATAATGTAGCAAGAACCTAGAGCCAGAAAGTACTATGTTTTAAAAAGTTGGCACAAAAAAGACTAATTAATTTATACAAGTGTAGGTGCTATAATAAAAGGTAACAAACCAGAAATAGAACTTGTAACATGATCTTTAGACATGACATATCAAAAGAGACCGCACTGATAATATTCATCTCAACAATACAAAGTGAGAAAAAGCTTTAAGTGGCAGAAAGCCTAACAATTTCATGGAATGACCACTGCCTTCTGAAATCCCGCAAGGCCAACTACTGGCACTTCTCAAAAAAATCTTTGTACAGCCCTTGCTGTGCTTAATCTTGCCGATTACTTATTCAGATAATTCCTGAGTTTGGGAAATGAAGAAGATGGTTGACACCCTCATAGCTTGATATGCAAAGCATGCTTCGTTAGGAATCAAAGTGTATCTCAAAATAAGATGGTTTATTGTAACATGTTCGCAAGTACTGCCAACATAACAAAGTATGACGACTTGTTAGGATTTCTGCCCACCAAATGATTAACATAATGAATGATCACCACCACCTCCCATGTGAAAAAAATATTAACTTTGATACTGTATAAAAAAGCACACAAGTCAGAATTTCCTATCTCCAATACCAACAGCCTCATTTACATGCCACAATCCGGTAAGAGTAAGTCTATAACAAAGTTTCTAACTATGACCTCATGCTCTAGGCTGTTGGATCTAGAGTGCTTCAAAATGAGAGCTCTCAATCCAACGGTTCAGGACGTCAGCTCATTCAATGCACCCTCATGATAACTTTTTCCATCCTGTAAATATATGCAAAACTAATGGAATGAAGACTGCTGCCCTATCTGATTCTTTTTTAATAATATTATGCTGCAACTATTACGTTTTGTGGATTAAAATCATACTTTTGTCTAAACTAATTATTGAACATCAAAACCAATTTTAGTCAAAACTTATCATTTGCAAACCTTAGGATCTTTTTATACATGTTTCTCTGAGGCAGGTGCAGTTTTCGTGCTGCTAAAGCCATTACCACCAGTTCATATTCCATTTAGTCCCCTTTGTTTATGGTGGGGCTTGTGGTGAGAAAGAATTAAGTAGTCTTTTGACGGGGAGGAAACTCCAATTTGTTCTCTCAAACATTCAATATTGAGTTCTTTATTCTTTTGGGTCAATGGATGAAATTGTATATCATTGGAACTTATAAAAAAAGGAAAAAGAAAAAAATATTGTAAATCATTGGAGGATTTTGTGATTTTGTAGATGGCTTGAGAGTATAGCTACCTCTTTTGGGCTTTTGTGGTTCTGTTCCTTGGGTATGCTCCCCCTTTTGAGTGCTTTTAATGAAAATTTTCTTATCAGAAAAAATATATATTCCATTTTGTTCTGAATTTGTGGCATGGTAATGAATATTTTAAAGTACTGACAGGAACTTGGTGGAATAAGTACTGCAATGGAACGGCAGAAAGCTGTTCTGCAAGAGTTAATGGCTGCTGTGAACGATATGCTACGAAATACAGAGGTGGCTGTTCGTTCATTCATATTGTTACGCCCTAGGTTTCTTCATTCAAATCAAGGTGCTGGTTCAAATGCTACCGCACCATCACAGGCTTCAGGAGGGGCAGTGGCTCCCAGCGCAACAAGTCACCCAACAGCTACCTCTATTGTGCCAGTTTTTGATTTCTATAGTGGGCTCCCAAAAAAACCATCTCCCTTTTTTCTGCAAACAGTTGCCAGGTTTGAGAAGTATCTTGGTGTGTGCTGCCAGTGGATTGAAGAGTTAGAGCAGTTGCTCCTGTTAGATTCTGGGAATTCTTTCAACTCCAGCTCCTCATTGTTGTATTCTCTTCCCAAAGTCATGTCAAACGTACACGGCTTCTTTGTTCATGTTGCAGCAAAGGCAAGAGAACTGACTTCTTGTGTTTCGTACTTCGTTATGATTTAAACTATGGAGGTCTTAATGATAATATGTTGCTTATACAATCAGATACTTTGTCTCCTTAAATGTATTTAGTAATAGAGATTAGAGACAGATGCAGAGTGGTTCTATATATTTTCTCATTACTCTATACTCTGGTGAATTTGGTTAACTGATTGGTAGAAGAAAATTCCTATGTCAAAGTGGTTGGAAATAGTCACCCCCACCCAAGGGAAGGGGGAGATGCATTATGTATGATTGGTTCAAATATTTACATGTATATATAACTGCTTCATATATATATATATATATATATATGTATATATATTACTGCATCATTTATGGTTTGAATGTACATAAATGGTGCTCATAAGTTGCACACTTGTTATTTATATTTCTTATGATCTATGTATTTGTGGCTGAAGAATTGTTTCTTATGTGCCCATGAGGTTTAGTAACTAGTATGCTCTTATAACTTTAGTTTCTACTGCATACTGTTCTTTTATTCTTATTTACTTGTAAGAGATGTATGCCCTTATGCTTTGTAGGTTGAGAGCATGCATCAATACATGGAATCGATGAAAACTGCATATCTTGCTGACCAGCGCCGCCGAGGGGAGGGGAATGATCCCTTTCTTGAAGCTGATAGAAGGGAGACAGCCAAGCAAGAAGCTGCTGCTCGGAGGGTACATCCAACTTCGCATTTGCCTGCAATTTCACAACCACCAACTCAAGTTGCTGGGTTGTTTGCCAGCTCAGCAATGCCTGGGGCATTGAATGCCCCACAGACATCTGCAGCAGTTTCTTCGGCTTCATCTGGGAATTCATTTTTTGGCACTCCACCTGCTGCTTCATCATCTTCTCTGTTCTCCACTCCCTCCACTTCTGCTCCAGTATTATCCTTATTTGGATCATCTGGTGCTTCCCCCCAGACATCACAGTTTGGTGCCTTGTCCAATCCAAGTCCCTCCTTGTTTGGTAGTACTGGTTCGTTGTTCGGTGCAACTGCTTCTGCTGGAGCTTCAACGTTTGCAACACCTTTTGCTTCAGGTACCTTTATATCATTAGTTCTATAATTGCACCATTTACTGTTACTACAAGTGCGTGGTGCTATTGTTAATATAGAGAGATCTTTTGCATTTGCTTTCTAGTTTGACACCTTGGTGAATAATTTTTTTTTTGTTCATGAGGTTTCAGGAGTACTGAATTTGAGTCTTGTGTTTCCCATTTAAGAAAATTGGGCACCCATGTCTGTGTGAATGAACTTCGCTCTGGGATTTTGGGCTATATGCCAGTAATATACTGAAAACATCAAGTCACTGTTCTGGTCAATATCTGGAAAAATTTAATGAGCAAATGTTTGAGATAACATGAAGTTCAGCAGATTTTGGTTCTAGAAAAAATATTTGAAATAATATTCAGCCAAAGTGTTCGTGATGTATTCAGTTTTAGAATGCCTATTAGTATAATTACTATAACCATACGTGGAGCCACTCTTGGATATTTCCATCTGGCATTCTTGATATGTATATTATTAGCTCACCAGTCTGGGGCACAGGAATTTAGTCAGGATCTGGCTGTGTACGATACCGTTGATCATTGACTAATCATAGTTGACATAATACTTGTGCATATTTTTATGACTTTGACATAGTTACGTACGGTACATTATTCTGACTAAAAATTTCATATTATTTTCTATACTACAAAGAATGACCCTAAAATAAGCTATAGGAGTTGTGAATATCTCAATCAGCATCTTTTCATTTCCAAGACATTATTATTTTGTCATCAGCAAGATCTTTTATTTCTTCACATGTGCTCCTCGCTTTAATTTTTACATTTTTTGTCATCTGATTAAATTTGGTATGTTTCCCTAGGAGCTGCAACTGGGTCTGGGGCAAGCTTTGGAACTGCACATGTGAGTAAATCACGATCTCTCTCTCTCTCTACACTTTTTGTCTGGATGTTGTACCATTTTTATGAGTTGCAACTTACTGTGCTAATGATAGGATTGATGCCAATTGAAATAATACTGAAAAACCAGGTCTTGCCGTCTTGGTAACAGTACTTTATTTTTTGTGATATCCAATCAATTCCAGATAAACTTTTTGACAACTGCAAATGCCTTCCTCTTAGTCATTAAAGTTAGAAATTGCATTGTTTCCTCTCTTCAGCTGACGCAAAGAAAAATTCTGAAATATTTTGGGACAAAAACTTCTGACTCCGAAACAAATTTATGCAAGTCAAATTTGCTTGCTTGACTTTATTATTGAAGTTATGACTGATATTTATTTCTTTGGTCTAGATATTAGGATCATTTCAACTAGCCAATTCACCCTTTCTTGAGGTTCTACATAAGAGACCCTTGTAAATTACGATCATTGTAAAAGAACATGGTTGTTATACATGATGTTGGTAATCTTAATGGGGTTACAGTTCATGAAGGTTAGAGAAACTAAGTCATCAGAAAAGGTGGCAACTAAGGGAGGAGTTTGGATGGAGGTACTATAGTGGGTTAGTTGCACTGCCACAACTTTGGAGTGATATTGGGAAATGAAAAAGTATTGTTGATTGGAGTGTACTTTGGTTAGGATTGATGATGAAAGTGGTGGTTGTGGAGTTGCAAGTGGCTATTAATTTACATCATCCCAAAAAATCAATCTCTCACTTTATACATCCACCTCTCTCTATATATATATATTTATGTGCCCCTATAACTATTGATTTATATCTAAACACATTATTCTGTAAAGATAAATTATAATGTACACTGTGCCGCCCTGAGAAAAATTTCTGGCTCCGTCCCTGATGGCAAGTGTGGTTTCAGCGGATAGTGGAGTAGTTCTGGAGGCCAATTGGTGAGTGAGGTAGCAATAGCAGTGACTTCTGATAATGTTATTTTTTGGATGGTAAAGCAAGCTCACACACACATGCCTCCACCGAGACTTCTGATAATGTTGGTAATGGTTTGTGGTCAACTAGTAATGGTGGTGGTGATTAGACATCCAAATGTGTTGTCTGCTAAGAAGCACGGATATGACACAATATAGGTACGGCGATACGACAAATTTCAAAAAAATAGTATACAGATACGGTTAGGATATGGTAAAAAAATAATAAATTATGTTTTTTTATATACAAAAAAATATTTTTTAGCTAGTTTTTAAAAATATTATGAATCTAAATGTAATCATTAATGTAACATAGTAGTTCATTTCACAAAACATAAAATAAGCATCCCTAGTCATCACTTAATATATTTTGAACTTTTTTTTTATAACAATTATACAATTATATTATTGTTGGAAAAGTTGTATTTTAAGATTCAAAACTTGTTAAAAATGTGTTTTGAAGAATCTGAGAAGCATTGGATACGTGATAAAGTATGCGAGAAGCATCGGATACATGGTTGAAGTATTTGAGAAATATCGGATACATGTTATAAATTAAAAAATATATTTTAAAATTATGGATATGTTTAAGAAGTAACACGTATCTGCGAGTGTCCGAGGAATATCGGTATCAGATATGTACCCGACAAGGGTACGTTGCCCTTGTAGAAGTATCCGTGCTTCCTAGGTTGGCTGGTGTTGTTCAGATTATTTGTGGTCATGGTTTTAAATAATGTTGATGGCCACTGTGGCGGACATAGGATGTAATGATAGTTGTGTTACTGTAGCAATCATGGGTGTTAATTTTTTTTTCAACTTTACCTGACTCTCATGAAGATTTACTGAAATGTATTTTTGAATCTTAGATTACTATAGTTTGGGTTCTTAATAGTTTTAACTAATTCTGTCAACTTTTTTTAAAGAAGAATTAATGAGTATTGGTCAATACATTAAAATTTGATTCTCTATTAGCTAAGTGTAGATGCCACGTACATTCTAGTCTCAATATCATGTATATATGAATTTACAAGGATTTAGCGTTAAGTGGCTTAGCCCTTTAAGGAAGTTCGAAATTAATTGGTGGAATTGTAAATTGAAAGATCTGGAACACGGCCTATCAACAATCTCCCATCATCTAACATCAAACATTAATTTAATGCTAGAGATCTTATGTATTCATTGTTGCATTCCAAATGGCCTTTATTTAGAACATGATTAAATTCGTTTGTGGGATCTTTCTGGGCAACCGGAATTTCTGCATGCGTGGGTTTCTGAGTCATTTTGTGTTACTCTGTCAAAGACATGCGCATGACAGGAAAGTGGGAGTCGGCTGTGTAGTTCTAGAAACTTCATTAAAGACGGAGGTATATGCACTTGTCCACATCCTTAATAGGTGTAACTATTTTTCACTTTCTGATTTGCCCAAAGAACAGCAAAACATCGGACACGGGCACAAGAAGCCCCAAACCCATTATTGCTATTTATCACAAGCAAGAGGCAAATAATTGGATTGACATCTCCTTGCAACATTGCTTATTATGTGTGCTCACCAATGTTACTATGCCTGTTCTTCTTATTAACTCTTGGCCTCTGTTGAATCATTTCTTTTATCTCCTGTCTCCTTGCAGAAAACAAGAGCGAAAACTCGCACTGGCCGACGTTATTAGTCACAATGCTTTCAGCGGCAACCTGTTATCTACTATGTGATTCTCACAATTTTCATGGCAACGACCATTATGTTTTTGCACTCAAGGTCTAAAATGGAGCTTCTTTTGCGGTCAACTTCATGGAAGTTCTTGAATCTCTTGCTGAATTACCAGTACTTGGAATCCGCATCTCACATGCCGCTTCGTCTGGACATCCCAGTCTGATATGTTGGGGCTTCCAAATGATTGTAACATTGTAAAATACATTACTTATAGATGTTTTGAGGTGTAGATGCTTATCAGAACCTTTTGAAGTCATTTGTTTGTGTCAGGATTGGGATTTGCTGATTCACATAGATTTCTGTTTGTTTACTAGGACCGGTGCTTCAATTGAATTCAATATGAGGAAATCAAAAAACAGTTTTTAGAGAATTGTAAAATATAGTTCGATGAATTGCAGTTTTTTATTTTTATTTTTCGGAAGGTAAGATAGTATTGCATTGATGAAAGAACTTTACAAGGCTTTCCAAAAAATATAGGGCTAGCCCACGAATGATGGACCAAGCCCAGCAAACAAAAGCAAACAGAATTTAGAACACTTGGCCAAGCCCAACAGATACAAAGACAATGTTTAGTCAAGGCATAGCGGAGACTATCCTCGTCTGAGATCAAGATCGTTCCGGTGTATAACGAAGGGCGAAATGGAGCCTAAGCCATCACCCTATGGTGATTAGTCCGGAGGTTCCGCCGGCGGCCTCAATATCGAAACCGGAAGCTCCCAATCCAACGCCAGCCTCCTTGCAAAAGGTGAGTCCTTTAGGTTTTGTGAAAGTAATTTCTGCCTAACCAAGTCCGTGGTTTGCCTTAATAATATCATCTGCGAATTTTTCTGATTCGTGAATGCCCTACTGTTTCGCTCCATCCAGATCTTATTGACAAAAGTGGAGAGCACAAGTTTCCTTACCGAGTTCCTCAGATCTCGTCTTGCCCATTGCTGAGAAACCCGAGTAACAAAATCGGACCAAGTAGAGGGAGGGGCATGGAATCTGGTTATGGATTGAATATGAACCCATATTGGCCTTATGAAATTGCAAGCAAAAAAGAGATGATCATGAGTCTCGTTGACCAATTCACAGAAGTGACAGACTCTCGATCCATTAACCGACCTCATTCGGCTTCGATCCATAGTGGAGAGCCTGCCTTGGACAACCATCCACAATGTAAATTTGCATCTCGGTACAGAAAGTGGGTTCCAAATGAGATGATGCCAGTGCCTTGGGAGATGGTAATAATCGATCCTGCAAATGGTATGGCCGAGTGAGTATGCACCTGTGGGAGATGGAATCCAGACCAATGAATCTATTGAGTTGTTTGGCGGCCTAATAAGCGCAAGCTCAGGGAACCGATCCACCAGGTCCTTCGGAAAAGCCCATGCTCCATTCACGGCTAGTGCAGAGAGCTTCAGATTCGGCGAAAAAGGTGAGCCTCGAATGAGTCCTTCAGGTGTCCTCCCAAAAGAAGGTGTCCTCCCCATTACCCACCTTTGTACGAAAGCATGGACCTTGCCATTCCCCTAAGCTGTAGGATTTTCTTCCAATTACTAGAATATGCCTGTGGGATGCACATAGTCCATAAACACCTTCCTCTAATTAGCTGAGTCTTAACCCATGAAACCCATAGGTTGTCTCTGCGGCCTGAGAGCAAAGTCCAAATATGCCTTAGGGAGGCGGCCAAATTCGAAGTTTCAAGGCATCTAAACCAAAGTCCACCACACTCCTTATGTTGACAGACTCTAGTCCAAGCCACTTTCGCCCTTGAATACTTGTCCTCGGTGCCCGTTCAAAGAAAGTTCTTCATCAGTTGATTAACTTCTGCAAGCACCGACTTAGGTAGAACAAAAATACTGGACCAGTAGTTGACCATGCTAAACAGCACCGATTGAATAAGCTGAACCCTACCTGCATAGGAGAGGAAATTAGAGGACCAATGGTTGATCCTACGAATAATTCTTTCCACAAGCCCTCTGCAGTCCGAGGCTTTGAGTCTGGAGGAAATAAGCGGCACTCCCAAATACTTAATAGGCAAAGAACCTCGTTCAAATCCAAGCAGGTTCTCAAAATCGGCAAAGTGTGAGTTGTCAACTCCAGAAAGAAAAAATTGGCTCTTAGAGCAATTAATGGACAGACTCGAGAGGGCTTTAAAGTGATCAATGGCCCTTTTCAAAGTGGAAATAGAAGCAAGAGGAGGTCGTCGGCAAAAATGAGGTGAGAAATGCCCAAGTTCCTACATCTGGAGTGGTATCTGAACGCAGGGCTATCCTCAATAAATCTCTTGGTGATAGAAGAGAAAACAAAAAGTAGACGTGAAATAGGAGCAGGTGGGGGTGCCAGAAAACCAAGGGCATAACTGTAATATCAGTGATTCTAATTTCCTTCGCGGGTTATTCCAAAATAATAAAATATACTATAATTTCTTAATTAATTGATAATATATTTTCAATAATTCGATTCTTAATCTCGTGTCTATTTTCTTATGAATGTAACATCTCACGAAGAAAAATATAAATTTTTAAAAAACAACTTAACTCCATGCTTCAAATTAGAGTATAATAAAGAATTTTTTTTTCATATATGTAAAATAATCATAATATATTATGAGCGTGTATGAAATTGCATTTCAAACGTTTATAAGTGTTTTTATTTTAAAAATTATTAAAGCACTTTTAAAATTTTGAAACTATGTTATAACTTTATGAGTAGAGTTTTTATATTTTAAATAATTATTATTATCGAATATTACAGAATTGCTTTAAAAAAAAGTTGTCACAATGAAAAGTGTAGTTTATTTGTAAAAGGTAATTTAACTATATAATGAGAAAATTTCTCGCTTCCCGGGTGTAAAATAGTAAATCGCCTCCGTCAATGTGTGAATCCACCGAAGCCGAACTTCGAAGCTTTCGCCGGTCAGGAACGTCGCCAGAGAATGAGTCGCCGGTCGGAATACTCGCGCCTCTGCTGTTTGATCGACGAGTCTCTTCGTCCGTACACCGTCAGTTTGATCGCAATCGGAATTTACTTTAACACTTCTCTTCCTCTGTACACTCGTTTCGTCTTCTCACTTTTGCTATACATCAATATATCTGCAGGAGCAAGTAATGGTTTCGTTAAGCAAAGAAACCGGGAAAGACCTGTTAATCAGTCTCTCACAGGTTTTTTCTCTCTCACACACTATACATATATATCTTATAAGCATATCTTCAGGATATATATATATATATATATATATATATATATATATATATATATATATATATATATATTCGACTTCAGTATATATAGTTGAATGGATTCTCTTTCGCATTCAATTTGCACCAAAAAAAAAAAAAAATAATAATAATAGTTTTCTTAAAAAATTCACATTTCTATTTCAGGTCTTGAGGCAAATTCAAGTGTGGACGCATGAATTTGATTGTGATTCGGACAATGTCAGTCTCTCTTTCTCTGTTTTTGTTATGTATTTTTTCCCATCAATGAATTTAAATTTAGCTGGACTTGTTAAAAACTTGTAAATTATGAACTTCAATTTTTCAACAGGACATGGTGGTTAAAGCACCTGCTACTAGTAGCATATGTTCAGGTGACTCGAAGCCGCATTCTGAAGATCACGATTGTTTAACCAAGATTGTAGCTAATTTGGTAAGTTAGGGACCACGTGAATCTCATTCATACAAATTGTTTTAATTTATTCTCTTGTTGTTTTCATTATTGGTATAATAGTGTATTCCTAATACCAAAGAACCTCTTGAAAATGTTCCTGTTGGAAGTTCCTAACTCTTGATTATGAAATGCATGGTAGAATGGGATAGCAATAGTTTGTGTATTTGTGTTTGAAAGTGCCTCTTTTTTTTTGGTCAGAAAAACATTCATTTTCCTGTCGACACACACACAAAATTCACTTACATGAATGGAAAACGTACCTCAATTACTTTTCATGCTTCTTGTTTTCGTATAAAGTTCCCTGGTTAGTTGTATAGTTAATTTTAGTTCTTTCTTGGCCGTTCTGTGTTTTTGTGAAACTTCACATATGTGAAATATGATCTTCTTGTGATTACGATTTGCATTTGCGGCTTATCAGCATCTGCCTGGAAAAGACAAGTTGTCTCTTGAATATCCCATCTGTCAGAGCATGACAGATATCTTAAGATTCGTATAGGAGCATCGATTTATCTTTACTTACTTCTTAGTTTTTGTTAATTTTATCTGTTTTGAAATTTGAAGCACTGCCTAGTTGAAAGATCGTGCTTTCTTGTTTCTGCATCTGACCTAATGTTGCTATTTCTTACAGATATTTTTCCTAGCAGTTGATAGTCGATATGTTCAACATTTGGCAGGCAACATTCTTGTGGTCATTTCTGAGTTCGTTGTTGCATTTGTATGTAGAATTTTCTATCTTTAAAGTTCAATGTAATGCTGCATTCAGTTTTTATGTGCTTCATCTTCTTAACACTACATGTTTTACAGGGGGGCAATTGGAATAAATTTATAGATTTGTTGTGTGTATGCTTGGAATTGGCAATTTGTAGCACGCTTTCTTCTTCTATGGAGTCTCCAACAACTAAAGCCAAATATTCAGATTCTGATTCATCAAATTTCCTTGTAGCCTTAAAACCAAAATTGAGAAATTCAAATTGGTCTTCAGTGGCCGGTATTATTCGAGTTTTACGCAATATATTGAAACATTTGAAGCAGGAATTTGATGATCAACTTTTTGAAGTTTACATGAAATCAATCAGTTCATGTATTTCAAATGTGCCTTGGGATATGTTTAACGAGCTCCATGTTTGGGATGGTGAGGCTCTGAGAAGCTCCAGTTGGGATGTTCTGCTTCACCCTAATGTTGGGCAACAGGAGTCAAGAATTGTTTTTTATGGAAATCTTGTTCAGTTTTTCTGTTCTTTGGTTGAGCAAAAAGACTTGGTGGAAACTACAGATGGTTTTTTTGATAGGCATCCAGTTATATTTGAAATCAGTATCCTCGTCCCAAAACTTTTAGCCTGGTGCCTCGACAAAGACTTAAGTAACTTGTGCATCTCTCAATACTTCAGACACAAGATGTTGGTATGGATTTTCCTGAGTTGCTTTCTAGATGAACATTCTTGTGGCTGTTTTTATTAAGATAATAGAACCCAAAACTGAGATACTTAAATGCTGCCTGATGAACCCTATAAATCTAATTGTTCTGGTTTTGTAAAGGATCGAGTCAGAAATCAGTTAAATTTGGGATTAAACATCATGTAAATTTTTGGGTTAAAAAAAAACATCATTCTCTTTTTGATTACGCAGTGAAATTTGCTATCGTGCATCTGAGAAGAAGTTACAGTTGGTGGAACCTGTCACCCTTTCATTAAGGTTTCTTACTTCCCATAGATGTGTGTCACATGGGTTTGTCCATTGGACTTTATGTCCTACTTAAATATCGTAGTCTATTGTTTGCTATGCATGATTGAGTTGCCTTTATCTTATGATGCGTTTGGGAGTGCTGAATCAGCGTTTTGAAATTGGAGGAAATATAGTTCAAACCCAAAAAAAGCTTTATTGTTTTCAGGTAGATGTTTTATTAGAAGGAATGTTGATGGTAACATAATATTATTTCATTTTGGACGAGGATAATTTCTTTTTTTTCTTCTTTTCTATCTTTTCTTTAGATTTTATATCATGGTTGTGTTGGGATAATGGGGTGGGGTAGGGGAGGGAGGATGTAATGAGAAGGGTACACTTCTTTGTACAATTAGATTCTAGTGCAAGTTAAATCAATACTAACGATTTGTCCTGACAAAATAAAGAATATTATATCATTAATTTGTTGCAAAGGTTTCCAGCTTGCTACACAGTTCAGCTCAATTAATCTCATCAAAACACTTGAACCAACCATGTTGCTTGCTGCTTTTCAATGTTATATCATTTGTAGTGTTGTCAACATGATGTGCCTGTTAGATCTCATATTTATTATTCTCAACGTTGCTGTTTACAAATCTTTTTATTATTATTTTATTTTTTATGATTAATATATATATCTATTTTATGTTGAAATTGATATTTTAATCATCCAAACAAGAATCAAATCGTGCAATCTTTCATCATGTGATGTTTAGCACCATTTTAACTCATTTTGGGAATTTCTTTTTCTCCATGATGCATAGATGTTTATTTATTTATTTTCATGATGCGTAAGATGTAATTTTTTTATCATGATGCATCAGATGTGTGTGGATTTTTATTTTTTTATTTTTTTCCCATTTCCACTGATTTATTACTTGGTTTACTATGTTATGCTATTATTTTATACTCCGACTTAGAACATGGCCTTTTTTGATGTGGCAGAAATTATTTATAAATATAGCGTTTTTATATAGATTCGTCATTGCACTAATAAGAATGTAATCTTCAGATGCTAATCATCAGGCTTAGTTTCCAAATTCATTTGGAAGGTTCTATTCTTCTTTCATGGTTGCAACTTATCCACAAGTACTTTCAAGATCTTTTATTGCAACCTATAACTCAGCTGGAATCTGCTGAGGATGACTGCCTAGAAGGTTCTCCATTTTTGGTGAATTTCTCTGATGTAGAAATAAACAGTAGGACATCTCGCCATCTGCAAGGACAAGCTGTTTTCCTTTTCCTGAGATGCTCCTTTAGTTTGGTCAGCCTGAGAGGAAGAAGTGATGAACAATGTTCCTGTGCAAATCCGAACTCTTGCTTGACGTTTGACCTAAATTCAGACCTCGAATGTTGCAGTAGAAAGAAAGGTCTGCTAGAGCTTTACGAGTGGCTTCAAGTGCATCTTCCTGTTGATATGTTTGTTGGCCATGAATTGTACCTTGAAAGATGCAAAAGTTTCTCCTTGTCCTTCCTTCGGCTATACATGCATGAGGTTGTCTCCTTGCTCTCTTAGAGATTTTCTGCCATACTTTTGATGATTCTATAAAAGAAAACAGTTTTAACTTTTGAAAAAGTAAATAAATCAAAGCGAATACTGTTCTCGTTTGGGGCATTATGGGGAAGATATATCTTAAATAGTGGGAATGTAAGGGCATGTGGTGAAGCCTATATTTTGAAATCATAATAGTACTGATATAGATGATCTATATTGTGTTTTTAGCTGTTCGTCTAATCTGAGGGTACTATTTAATTATTTCTCATTATTGTTTTTCATACTTGAAAATTTATATATCAGTAAATGATACTAGATTTATAGGTCATGACAGAAATAAGCTAAAATGTGCACAATTCAAAAACTTCTGTTGTGTAAGGACTCTATATGGTTTTAGCTCTGTTACACTCCCACAAGTTGTTATAAGGAAATTGATAAATGGTGGGAAAGGAAAATTGTGGAACTATCTGACTTGTATCAATATTTTGATCTAGAAATTTCCTTGATGAGTTCCACAGTTGAATGGTTTTGGTCCTTCTATATGCTGGCATAAGCATCATGCTGGAGCAGGGGTGGATGCCCCCCCACTGGAATTTTTTTAATTTTCATTTCACACCTATGATTTTGTTAAAATTGTAATAATGACCCCCCACAAAATATTTGCTAAAAACCCCATATATAAACTCGGCCCCACTGAGTTTTGGGTCTTCAAACACACCTCCCTCACTCTCAAAATTTCGCACTCTCTAGGCCTCTCTACCCAGCGCTAGCCCTAGCCCTAGCCCATCAACAACTCTCTCTCTCTCTTTCTCTCTCTCTAACTCTCTCATGAAGATCATAATTGTTGGCAACACAACCCTAGTTCTCTTCAATTTTTTTTTTTTTTAAATTTCTCCCAATTTTATTTTTATTTTTTTAGGAGTATTAAATTTGATTTGGTTATAAGTAGATAAGATGAACATTGGAAACCAAGTGGGTTCCCTGAAGAGGGATTGACGTTCATTAGTTCATGGGTCTGGTTATTTAGTTATTTTTCTATTTTGGTAATTTTTAATGGTTTGGGGAATTGAGGTTGCTATCGGCAGCGATTTTCTGATTCCGTCTCTGTGCTGGGGAAGTGGAGGTTTTTCATGCTTCCCATCCTTAGTCTGGTACTTAGAAACTCCATTTTCTTATATATATGTGTGTGTGTTTTTTCTTTTCTTTCCTTTTTTTTTTTTGGGGGGGGGGGGGGGGGGGGGGGGGGGGTGTTGGGTAATTAGGTATGGTGGTGAAAGGTTGTTGCACATTAGCCGCATTGGTGTAGGCTGAGAGTGACGGGGATAGCTTGTGGCTTGTAAAGAGGAAGAAGAAAATAGTGAATATGCACTTTTTTTTTTTTTTTTTTCTTTCAAAGGGAATTTTTGCGGGCTTCACATTGAAGAATGTAGTTATTGTAGATTTCCGTACTTTCCCAAGTTGAAATCATATTTTTCATGTCAGATTGTTTTCTGATATAAATTGTGTCATTTGCAAAAAGCATACCTAAACACTCTTGTCTAGTTTCTTTATCTATCTGAATGTGTCGTATTTCAAATTTAAGAAAATCCCTTCTGCGTTCTGATTGAAATGTATTATGGTTAATTTCCTCCTTTGATGAATTCTCCAATAAGGTTATTTAAAATGGCACAGAAATATTCCGTGGTTCTGTTGATTCCTTATTCCTTATTATATATGCCTTCCTTGCCCTAATTTCTGATCTACTCTTATATCGCAGGATGATATCCTATTTGAAGTGCTTTTGCAACTACTTTGCATCCCTGATTGTGTCGAGCGACAGTGAGCAATACATAGACTAATTTTTCTTAGTAAGAATATTGATTGGTGAAATCTTTTATTGAGTTGTTCAGTTGTATATAGGGTTTGCCAAGAAAAAGGAGCTTTTCAGGAGGTGAAGGATGATATACTTTTTCATGTTTCAAACCTTTTCAATCCCATACGCTTATTCCATCTATTTCTTGCCGAGGCAAGTTCATTATGTCTTGACAGTAAAAACATTTAAGATCCCGTTCTTGTGTGCATTTTTTGTTTCATTGATACAAATCTAGTGTTATATCTCATTTGCAGTTACTTTACGATCATCAAGTGCTTCTTGATTACCTCATCTCAAAAGATATGGGAGCCAGTTCTGCTGAATATCTTTTGAGGTACTTTAGTTGCTTTTACTCTGATATTTTCTCTCAACTTACGGATGAAAAAGTTTTGATTTGAAGAAATCATTTCACCTAAGTCAACTTGTTGCCTTTTATAGCTTTGCTGAGAAGTACATGGTTAATTATGGTGCTAAACTATTAATATTTTTTGTTTCTAATTTTTGGAATTTATTGTTTGCATTGGTTGATGCAATCAAAATTCAAATCCTTAGAACATTCTGAGGGAGGATGGCAATTAGGAAAATATCTATTTCTTATACTTCCTCTTCATCTTTTTTGATGTTTATTGTTAGGTGCTTGCGTATAGTATGTAATTCCTGGGAAGTATTTGTGGAATTTTCGGTTGGTGGTAAAGTGGTAAATGAATCAGCTTGCAAGAAAAGAAAACTTCTCATTGATGGTTCAGATTTTAAGGGAGAGCTACCACCTGCATCTCTGAAAGACGATGAGGTTTCTCTGTCACTTGAAAGGGAATGCCAGGGAGACCATACATATGGCAGAGATTGCTGTAGAAGTGGTGGACTATCTTTTGAGAAAGCCAAGGAGTGTCTACTTTCTCTGAAAAAATCTATTGAGAGTCTTCATCAGAAGAACTTGTTTCCATATAATCCAGAAGTTCTTCTGCGACGGTGTGTTTCTTTTCTCATTTGTTACATCATTTTACTAGAAATCTGAATCATTATTATTTTTTTGATAAGTTAGAAATCTGAATCATTATGCCCCAGTACTTACTTGTCATGCTCTTTATGGAATATAATTTTACTTAATAATTAAATCTCTTTTCTTACTCATAAAATAGAATATAAGTTCTATAACTACTACTATTTTATTTCTTAAACTGCAACCTTCAAAATGGCTTAGCGACCCTCTTCAGAAGCACACGATGCATTTTGAGAAGTTCTTACATTGTACAGTCTCAATGACGATATCCATGCCTTCACTAGCTGAAAAGCATAACTGACAAATCAGTATCATAATTTTTCATGAAATTGGTGCATAATATAGAATTAGAAATCTATGTTGTATGGGTATAGTGAATGCTGAGACTGGTCTGAGAAGCTGCAGAGCATACGCTCAAGTAAGAATGTCAACAACCTTAAAAGTGATACTGGTTTATTACAATTTAAAGTGCATATAAAGGTCAATAGTTTGAATTTCTTATTATTTTTATATCATTAGTATCCTTCTCAGTCTGTAACCACAAGTATTATTTTCTTATACTAACATTATCTTGTCCTCATTAGGGTTCTGAAGATAGGTTCAGGAAATGGGTTAATCAGAAGAAATATGTTCTTAAAAATTACTTTTTAATGGGCCTTTGTTAATGCAACATACTATTTCAAGTTATAGGAATTTGGAAAGTTTCTATTTTTCCCTTTAACATACATGTCCTTCCAACTAGTGTTTGTATTTATGTGTATGTATCTATATGCATAAGTCAAAATGGTTGTCAGATGCCTCCTCTCATGAAGTCACCTATCCTGCTGTGATATTGCACTTTTGGCTAACCAAGTGTATTTAGTTTTGCTCTTCATAATAAACACTAATGAGCTGCAGGAGTCGTGATGATTTTCTTGATCTCTTATTGCAGTTTAGCGAGATTCCAGGAGCTTTGCGTGAAGAGTAGAAAATATTGATCTTTAGAGATCGGAGAAGTTACTTAGGACCCTGAGCCCCATCGTTTGTTTCCAAACATTGGTTTCTTTTCTCGATTGTCCCCAGATCAATTTTCATGTCGCCAGGAATCCATGAGACACAGTGCCCTCTTTGAAGTAAATTGGTAAATTTCAGATTCTGGTGGCCTGAAAGGCCTAATCGTAGTAGAGATTTCACATGAGAAGGTTAGAATGGGATGATAATGGTTGTTGGGGGCAATGAGGCACACAAATGGAAGTGTTATATTTCATGATTAAAGCAATTGGCAACAGTATCACCCGCGAGACTCATGGCTACCTTGACATTCGGATGGTGAGCCTTGATGGAAGAAATTTGAGAAGCGGTGAGGTTTTCTAAGTCCCAGGGGGGGCGGGGGGAATCAAGTGGAAATCGACATTGGTAATGACTTTTGAGCCAAGGTATTTAAAGAACTTCTCTAGATCAATTAAATTGTCATAAATTGATCAGATTTTAATTAATGATAAGCAGAAGATTGATTGTTTCATAAATCAGTTGATTGAACTATTATTCAGAACTCCTATGTGATTCTTCATTTTTTTCAAGGATTTATGTTTAGCTGAAAATTTAGATGTCGTAAACCTTACTTGGGTCGGTTACATGAATTCTGTTTTTCCATTCCATTCTAGTCACACCCTGTTCTTGTCGCTGCTATTATTATTTAGAGCCAACTGTTTTGCGCAATGTTAAAAATCCAGTCACCAAGTATGATAACCTTTTGTTTTGTTTTTGAGAGCAGCCACTTTGTACATGGTAAAAGTTAGGTCTATCAGCACTGCACATTAGCAGGGAGAACATTGGGTAATGGACTGTTATTTATTTATTTTTTTTGATAAGTAACTGTTATTATCATATATTATTATTTAAATATATATATATATATATATATATATATATATATATATATATATATATATATATAATATTTCCTTTACAATTTATGAACTAAAAGTTCACATAACTATAGTGAAGGGCATTAAAAATACATTAGAGACTAAGTATCCACATAGCTGTAGTGAAGAGCATTTATGTAACCCATCTTTTACTCAAATCGGAACTTAGAATACATCAAAAACTTTCAGGAGAGAGAATGGCAGCAAATGGACACTTGACATCTGAATACTGGAGCATCAATCCTAATAAGATAAAATTATAAAAAGCCCAGCAACTGTAAAATTTACTAGATAAAAAGAAACTAGGCCTCATTTTATTGTAATTTAATTTGTTACATGGGAGAAATGAATAATTTATGGTTGTGTTAACTTTTGGTATTTCGTTTTTCAGTTAACAGAATGGTGCAAGTGTGGAAGGCTAAGCTCCAAAGTTAACCAAAAAGGTTCAGGCAAGCTAATCCTTTTACTTGGACTGCTTATGGTTGCTCAAGCAATAGAAACAGATTAAAACTTATGCTGGTTTTTTAGTCAATACAGGGGGCCATTTCCTGATAGTTCATTGAGATCTTAAGGAGCATGTTGTTGGTATAAGGTGGCAAAGCTACAAAGATCAACATGTCACAAGGTCAGGGTTCTGGACCTGACTGCCACTGGATTCCACTCAAAGCTACTGGAAGAAGTCCCTTCTACGCTAATACTTGGCACTGTTGCTGAAGTTGTGGATTCTCTTCTACCGGATGATTGGGTGATTTTTGTGCGCCCCACCATGGATAGGGGTCTTTGTTGCTATGGAGAGGTTCCTTATGATAATTTTTTTGCTGTTTATGTCATCGCTATTATGCTTGGTCCCAAGACAGCAAACCTCAAAGAGGTACTGATCTTCTCTTATGTACATCGCTCTTATGTACGTACAAATGCATATTTACACACATTGTATGCATACAGTCTTTTAATTCTTAAATGCTTTGTCAACAGATCAACAGATATCCCAAGAATTATAAATAATATATGTATATATGTGTGTGTGTGTGTGTTGAATTAAAATTTAAAATTTGATTCTGTCATGATTTTCTATTTTTTTTTTCTTTGCTGGGTGGAGAGTGGGGGAAGGAGCAGTGCAACCGTATGAACTGTTTTGAATATATTATATTATATATATATATATATTTTCAGAGTATAAGTATCTTCTTCCTTTCTCTTTCTCTCTCTCTCTCACTTCTTTTTTTTTTTTTTTTTTTTCATAATTGGTTTTGTTTCATTGAAAGATATAGCAATAAAGTACAAGAGCACAGAAGGCATACCCTCAGAGATAGAACTACAAAAGCTCTGAATTGTCTTTTTATAAATAATGTCATGATGCTGATTAGTGTTTTATATACTTTGTCTATTAATTATACTTTTGCACTTAAAATATCAAATACTTGCAAGCTATGTCTTCCATTTATAGTGTTTCCATTTTTTGGAACTCAAATATCTCAATTGGTCTTGAATGGTAATACATACATAGATAGTACTTAATCCTGAATCTAACCATCCCTGAAATGCTCTTTTCAAGTGATTGTATACTGTAGTGTTGTCTGTTATGTCATAAATTTGAAAATAAAAAGTGAAAATAAATGAATTTCTCAATTCCTCCTTTTTTCATTTTATATTTATTTTTGAACCTTAAATTGTTAAATCATGAAGTAAAATCATTAGAAATAAGAAAACTGTAGCTTTTTCATGAAACCACACAATTTTGGCCAAAACTATTGGTGCTCTTCCTTTGCAATACGTATGCATGTCATATTCTAATCATATCATCCGTTTGTTGGTAATTTTTCAGTATCATGGAGGATTTGGTTATTCTATTGACAACAATCATACATTTGATTATTTAACGAAAAAAAAAACATACATTTGGTTAAAGTTCAGGTTCAACTGTTCAAGTTTGAGAGCAGCTGTTTTTGTGTAGAATAATGTCAATGATTAGGTCTGTCTCCAGTCTTCCCTTTCCTGCACTCCGCATAGGCGAGACATATACAGTCTTTCGTCTTCCCTTCACTGTGCATAGGCGAGACATATACACTGTGTAAAACATTCTTCTTGATGCAGGATTGGTGCAAGCCTGTAATCATATACATTCCAATGACACAATTTTTTATTTTATTTTCAGCTGTATCTACATGTTTCGATTTGTACGGATCCATAGAATTTGAGGAGCAGGCCATTCAGTTTTTTTATATATCTGTTTTCTTCATCCGGGCATTAGTGCATGACAAACATAACTGGAACAGCAATTTGAGATGATGTCAGATTGGAAATTTTAGTTAGGTTTTGACAGCCAGCTCTTTGGCAAGTCACTCGCAAGATTTCTGAGACTATTATGGAAGTAGAGATCCATATATCAATTAATCTCAGCAGGACTTGCACTACCAGAAAGAGTTCAAAAATGTAACTTGTTTGATTTGGGTTAGTTGCTGTCCCAATTTTGAGCATTCCAGTGGAGAAAAATAGATAATTTTCCTTCTCATGGCATCGCTCATGTTAGTGAAGAAAATTGGCCTACATTTAAATTGAGATGAAACTGGAAAGTGATGGAAATGAATTAACTTTATATGAATTGTCCTGTCTCCTCAGATACTGGTTCATTCAAGCCCACTTTCTAATGATTTAGTTTGGCAGTGTTGCTGTAATTTTTGCGTAATTTCTTGATGAAGTCCATAGTTACTCCATTTTCAAAAGTCTTGTGCGTATTGTTTTTGTATAAACCATCTTGAATCATGAAATAAAGATAACAATAGGGAATGGTTTACATAAGAATAGCTATCTGTTTTCACTTTATCGATTCTTTCCTCGTGCGAAAATTTGGTTTAAATGTTCTGTATTCTTTTTATAGGCTTCGCTGCTTGGCCATGGTTTTTTGAGGCTGCAGCTCGTCCTTATGGGAGGTAATGCTGGTTAGGTTGGTGCCTCACATATATTTTTATTGTCTTCAACAATCATGTAAAGTATAGTGAAGGATTCAGGTTTGTAACTACATGATGATCTTATATTATTGTCACATATAATAAGGTCAAATTTATTATCTGTTCTGTTTATTGTCCTATTGTTTTTGATGATGCAAGATTATATCTTCAAGACAAATAGAAGGTGCCAGTATGCTATCATGCTGGGGTCAAATTTATAAGTATATGCTATTTTATTATCATCACATATAATAAGGTCAAATCCATTAGCTGTACTGTTTATTGTCCTAAGCTCCCTCTCCCAATAAATTAGAAAGTATTTCTCTAAGGTTTTGTTCCATAATCTTGAAAATTTGCTGAAATACTTGTTTTAGAATGTTGAAATTGTAAAGGTGGAATTTATTATTTTATTTTATTTTAATATATTTTTAATGATAATTTCTAAAATCACTTTTCACTTGGTGTGTTCTGATGATCTAAAATTACACCACATTTTAAAAAGTCTCAATGATGAATAATATTTCAATATCTAACACCCCTAATAAAAAATGCTAAATTTTACTCCTTAATTTGTATATCAGATGAGAACAGTAAAAGAATATGTTATATAAAATGAGTTAATAAGATGGTGAAATTACCGTTATACTTCTCAGCTATTAAGCACAGAATAAAATGAATTCTGAACAAAGGATATCAAGAGCAAGGAGATGGACGAGGTTGAGAGGCATTTTGTGTTGGTTCATGGAGCTGGTCATGGAGCATGGTGTTGGTACAAATTGGCAACACTGCTAAGATCAGCAGGTCACAGGGTCACTGCTCTGGACATGGCTGCTTCTGGAGTTCACCCTAAGCGGCTGGATGAGGTCTGCTCGTTGTTGGACTACTGTGAGCCGTTGATGGAATTCATGGAGCATCTGCCGGTGGATGATAGAGTGGTTCTGGTGGGTCACAGCAGGGGCGGGATCTTCATATCTATGGCCATGGAGAGGTATCCTGAAAAAATATCTATTGGTGTTTTTATCACTGCTTTCATGCCTGGTCCCAACTTAGATTTTCCTACTATCAATCAAGAGGTACTCTCTCTCTCTCTCTCTCTATCTATCTATCTATCTATCTATCTATCTATCTATCTATCTATCTCATATTAACATAGTTATAGATTGTAGAATGATTTTACTAGAGTATCTTCTGATATGTCCCTAAATTTGAGTATAAGTTCTTTGTATATATACTAAATAGGAGGAACGCATGATTTATATGCATATATTTTTTAATTTTCCATGAAAGGATGACTTCTGTTAAATCTTTAAATCATTGTACCCTGAACTGCTGGACCAAGAACCTGATAACAAGTCAAGAAAATAATTGTGTCATTTAACTAGGTACAGTCATTAAACTTCATATTAAACTGCATAGTATTGTTGAAAGGAAATCAAATAACTACATTGGCTGGTTGCCTGGTTAGTTATGTTCTGAGAAGTCAAACTATGAACTTTACAATCTATGCAAAAATCTAAATTTGAATTTTTCCTTCGCTCCACCTAGTTATCACTTAATAAGTCGCAATAAAGAGGAAACATAAAAAAGGGTATTACAAAATACTTGAAATACATCTAGAGGAGAAACGGTTTCCATAACAAGAAAAAGAGGAAAAGGGCAAATAACGATGTGTTTGTCTTTTCAACTCAATTACAAAAAAAAATCAAGTCATTGTTTAATGCCCCTTCCCTTTTTTGATCTTCTTTGCAAAAGGATTGAATTGCCCCATGGCTTGGGACAGTTGGGGTTTATTATTGGGGTTGTTTGGGTTTCATTGGGTCATGCCCAGGTCCCCCAGAGCTGTGGTGGAGGCTTGGAGAGGGTGTATAGTGAGGGCCCAAGCTTGTGATTATTGGAGAGTTGCGCCCTTATGCCTTTGGTGGTGCTTATGGTTAGAGAGAAATAGGAGATCTTTTGAAGGAATCGAGAATTCTACTGGGACTCTTAAGTTCTCTATTATTAGTGCCCTTTTTTGTTGGGTTCCAGGGAGAAACTGTAAATCTATAGAGGAAATTGTTGATATTTTGGGCTCTGAGTGTTTAGAGGCCCTATTTGGCCTTACGTAGTTTTTTATTAATGCGTTCCCTTCTTATTGCTTTTATACAATCTTACTTATGAAAAAAAAAAAAAAAAAAAAACCGTTCACCAGAGATATTGTCATGGAATTATGCATTGATACCTCTGCAATTCCATAGGTATAAATTTTGAGAATTGCTAAAGTTTTTTGAATGCTATTTAGGACTCTTTTGGATAATATATAGGACAGGGTTTGGTGCAATGGTAAGGTTGCTCCATTGTGACATGAAGGTTTCCGTTTTCTAAATGGGAAATAGCCTTCGTATGCGGAAGCAAGGCTGTGTACGTTGACCCCCTGTAGACTTCGCAATAACTGAAGCCTCGTGCCCTGGGCTAGCCCTTTTTTAACAATTATTTGGATTGTTGATAATGCATCCTATCTATTGTTGAATGGTGTTGGTCCCATAGTGAGGACCATCTCATCTAACATACCTTTAATATACGTGAATTTCTAGATAACTATAAAAGAGTACATTTAACAATGACACTACTTTTATATTTTTTTGCCACATAAGTTTGACAATTTTAATTAATATGTAACAAAAGTTATTTCCATTTAGACTTATAAATTATATAAATACTAGACTCATCCAAAGAAGCTGAATTTTATGATACATTTAGGTAAGTGAATGAAGTTCCAATGAAGAAATATGAGATTTAAATGAAATATTGGTTTTTGAAGTTGGATTGAGATGTCCAAAGGATGTTAGAATAGAAATATAAGTGATTGATTTTTTCAAAATCTTTGTATAAGTAGCATCTGGTCAGTAGGATTTCAAATGCATCGTTACATATCTTATCTGATTTCTACACGTCTATTTATTGAAGTTGGATTTGAAATTTCACTCCTTAAATGATTGAATAATTTTAAATTTCTAATCCAAATTGAACTTTGATATCTTTTGTTTGGTATTGAGTGGAATGATTCCATCTGGAACAGGACAAATTCATTGCCATATTGCTTTGTTTATGGAAATTATGGACTGCATTCCATGGCTGTCATATTGACGCAGAAAGCTCTGTGCCATATTGCTTTCTTTATGAAAATTATGGACCACATTCCATTGCTTTCATATTGACACGGAAGGTTCTTTTTTTTTTTTTTTCCCTGGAAAATTACTCCCAAGTACTTCAAGGGAGACTTGAATCCTCCACCTTTCGCTTTGAAATAAGATGAGATACTACTAGGTCACATGATTTTGTGATGTTTGACACAGATAGATTTCACGTTACCTATTCTGCTAGTTACTACCAGTAGACAAGTGTGGACAATTTGTCAATGACTTTGCTTTGTTGTATGAATTGACACAATGAAACTACTTATTCAGTTCAAAACACACACACACACACACACGCACAAACTGAGGGAGAGAGAATATTAAAAAGAGATGAAACACTTTTTTGCCTTTAATATTATATTTGTCAATTTAGTAGCCATTAGCCAATAATTTGGATATCTATTCAGTTTCAAATATTTGCATGGTAAAGAGTAATCATACATTTTCTTTGGTAATTTATACAGTTCAATCAAGTATTGGACTCTTATATGGACAGCCAATTTAAGTTCGATCAAGGGCTGGACAAATCTCCAACCTCGATCCTCTTTGGCCTCAACTTCTTATCTTCCAAGTTGTATCAACTATCCCCACCTGAGGTAATTCTCTTTGATGGTCCATGATCATCCATATACGTGTGTGTGTGTGTGTGTGTGTATACATATATACAAGAAGGCTCTCATGCGGTCCGAAACAACAGACTTTTCAGCGGACCAAGAGTCAATTAGGAAAATTACACTTTATTACTTTATCAGATCTAACCATAGTTAATTTATCATAATTAGCCAATACTTTTATTCAATCTCTCTCTCCTTAATCTCTTCCATCATCCTTGCAATCTCAACCACTACCGCCATATTCACACCATCACAGCCACCGTCTTCACAACTACAGCCACAACACACCTACCATATTCATTCTCTAAAATCGGATCCAGGTCATTATCTCTTTCTCTCTCTTCTTTTTGCACTTTGATTTATTTATTTTTTATTTTTTAGTTTTTTGCTCACTTTATTTTTTTACCTTGATGGCCTGACTGTTGCTCTCTTATTTATTTTTTTCGTTGACCCATTATTCCACACTTCGTGAATAAGCTTTTTTTTTTTTGGGTTCAAAGGATACCAATTTTTTAGGGTTTGTGAATAAGCACAACCTACAATAATGGAGTATCAAACAGAAAGCATATATTGCTTAATCCTGCTGTGGAAATAATAAAAAGGTCTCTAAATTTGGGGTCCCTGGAACTCCATATCTCAATACTAAGACAGAAATAAGAAAAATCTCCAAATTCTGGCAATTTGCTTGCTTTCATTCCCATTTACGTTTTCACGCATTACATTTTCCCTCAAATTTTATGTCACAAATACAATTATGGTTAATTAACTATTGTTAGGTTTGATAAAGAAATAAAGTGTAATTTTCCTAATTGACTTTTGATCGTTTGAAAAGTCTGTTATTTTGGACCGCCTTCCTGTAAATACATACATACATATATATATATACATACATACATATATATATATAGCTATATTTGTAGTCCCAACAACATTTTGATCTCAATACGGTTCCCTTTTGACATAAGATTTTTGAAGATCAAATGGTGTGAGCTAATGTTATATCTTTTGGCCATGGTTGAACTGAAACAGGATTCTACTTTGGCAAGCTTGTTGGTGAGACCAGTTGCTCCATTTAACGAGGCTGAAGTGTCGAAGGAAATTTCTCTTACTAAGGAGAAATATGGATCGGTCCGTCGAGTTTATATTGTGAGTGACCAAGATAATGTGATTAAGGAGGATTTACAGAGGTGGATGATAGAGAATAATCCAACGGATGAGGTGAAGGTGATCTCCGGTTCAGATCACATGGTGATGTTCTCCAAGCCTCAGGAGCTCTGCACCTGCCTGCAGGAGATTGTTGTGAATTATTGCTGATTCATTGTGTCACTCCTACCTAGCAAGTAACTTCGGATATGTTGAATCCTTCGCAAATTACACATATTATTTAAATTCTTGTATTTTTGCACCCGGTAAGAATTGAAGAACTTTGAACGTCCGAGTTTACGGTCTCCCCATAAATATTAATGATTTGACATACACGTGAAGATTATAGATGGTATCCAGTTTTAGTTGTATGAACATTGTGCCATAAATCCCATATTTAGGCAGAGCTTACAGAAACTAATATTTCTCAGCAATCTCTTGGATGCAGAGGCAAAGCTCTACGGGTTTGGATAGCATAACCATATGGTCAGCTTCCGCTATCAACTTCACTTCTGAATCATCCATCTCTGGAATTCCTCTTACAACAGTTGATCTTCTTCGCACACTACAAAAACCCGATTCACCAACCCGAATTTCTCCTCTGTTAGCAGAGATTCCTTTCCCAAGTCTTCAATGAACAACCCACTTGGCCTCACCAACATTTTGGCTAATTCCAGGTCCTGCAATATTCGACTGTACCAGTCATATTACTAGATTTTGCATTGGACTTTCCTAATTAATTCAGGTAAAAATTTGCTTGTGGCACACTCACCTTGACACTGTTGATATAGGATACTTGACAAGTAATCTGGACCAAAAATGGCCGAGGTTGGCGGGTTCTCCTGACCGTGATCAAACGAAAACTGGAGGCCCGATAAGGATTCCATTGGTATCCTGCTGAAAAACTAGTTTCTCCATTGGGGTAAGAAAAATATTTTCCTTATAATTTAATTCTAGTTATTCCAAACATAAAAATGAGATTTAATTACAAGTCCAATCCCATTTCAATTCCAAATTCCAAAAAAAAAAAAAAAATAATAATAATAATAATAAATAAATAAATAAATAAATTGATTCCAAGCAAAGTGGAAAATAGCAAATGGATGATTTTGAGTAAATCCTACGAAGGTCTAAGGGTGCAAAAGATTTGGTTCGGTTTGGTTTTGGGATAAACCAAAACCAAACCAGTCATACAATTATTAGAATCAAATCGAACTGTTAAAATCAATAAAACTGAACCGTAGATGAACATTCGGTTCTATAATTTAGACTTTTTTATATGTATATGCACAATATATATATATATATATATATATATATATATATATATATATATATATAACTTGGAAAAGGCTTAACCAAGATGCTTACTTCTTGAACTAAAGTTGCTGGTGGGGATGTGTAATTTGGCATCAAGGCTGTGACAAAACTGCTAACAATATGTTGTTTGGAAAACTTTCCACGGCTAGAGAAATGACAACGCCGCCAACACTGTGACCAACCAAGACCACCTTCTCATCATGAGGCAGAGAGGCCATGAAGTCCATCAATGGTTGCAGGTAGTCGGAGATGGAATCAATCTCATCATGCCGCTCAGGGTTGACGCCGCTATTGCCGAGGTCCAAGGCGGTGATGCGGTGGCAATGCTGGTTAGGTTGGTGCCTCGCAAATTTTTTTATTGTCTTCAACAATTGTGTGAAGTATAGTGAAGGATTCAGGTTTATAAATACAACTTATTTGAAAACAGCTCAGGAACAGTGTAGGAAGATTTGCCTCTGCAAAAATAAGTCAGGTTTCTCTTTTGGGGTGGGGGTGGGTTATTTTTTTTGACGATGGGAGATTATATCTTTTAGACGAAAAGATGCCAATTTTGTAACTACATGATGATCTTATATTATTGTCACGTATAATAAGGTCAAATTTATTAGCTGTTCGGTTTATTGTCCTATTGTTTTTGACAATGCAAGATTATATCTTCAAAACAAACAGAAGATGCCAGTATATGCTATCACTGTATGCTATTTTATTATTATTATCACATATATAATAAGGTCAAATCCATTAACTGTTCTTTTAATTGTCTTATGCTCTAAGGTTTTGTGCCATAATCTTGAAAATTTGCTGAAAAACTTGTTTTAGAATGTTGTAATATCTAACACCCCTAATAAAAAATGCTAAATTTTAGTCCTTAATTTGTATATCAGATGAGTACAGTAAAACTGTAAAAGAATATGATATAAAATGAGTGAATAAGATGGTGAAGTTACCGTTATACTTCTCAGTTATCAAGCACAGAATAAAATGAATACTGAACAAAGGATATCAAGAGCAAGGAGATGGATAAGGTTGAGAGGCATTTTGTGTTGGTTCATGGAGCTTGTCATGGAGCATGGTGTTGGTATAAGTTAGCAACGCTGCTAAGATCAGCAGGTCACAGGGTTACTGCTCTGGACATGGCTGCTTCTGGAGTTCACCCTAAGCGGCTGGATGAAGTCTGCTCGTTGTTGGACTACTGTGAACCGTTGACGGAATTCATGGAGTATCTGCCGGTGGATGATAGGGTGGTTCTGGTGGGTCACAGCATGGGCGGGATCTGCATATCTGTGGCCATGGAGAGGTATCCTGAAAAAATTTCTTTTGCTGTTTTTATCACTGCTTTCATGCCTGGTCCCAACTTAGATTTTCCTACTATCAATCAAGAGGTACTCTCTCTCTCTCTCTCTCTCTCTCTCTCTCTCTCTCTCTCTCTCTCTCTCTCTCTCTCTCTCTCACCCTATCTCTATCTCTATCTATCTATCTATCTATCTCATATTAACATAGTTATAGATTGTAGAATGATTTTACTAGAGTATCTTCTGATTCGTCCCTAATTTTGAGTGTAAGTTCTTTGCATATATACTAAATAGGAGGAATGCATGATTTATATGCATATATTTATTTAATCTTCCATAAAAGGATGACTTCTTTAAAATCTTTGAATCATTGTACCCTGAACTGCTGGACCATGTACCTGAGATAACAAGTCAAGAAATTAATTGTCATTTAACTAGGTACAATCATTAAACTTCATATTGAAATGGAGACATTCGTTTTACCCCGGGACTTGAACTACTATGGAAGGTGAAGAAATACCACCAGTTTTCTGCCTTTAATTAAATTGCATATTATTGTTGCAAGGAAATCAAATAACTACATTGGCTGGTTGCTTGGTTAATGTTCTGAGAAGTCAAACTATAAACTTTACAATCCATGCAAAAATCTAAATTTGAATTTTGCCTTCGCTCTTCACCTAGTTCTCACTTAATAAGTTCCAATAAAGAGAGAACATAAAAAAGGGGAAAAAATAAAATAAGACGAAAGAAAGATCTAAAAGTGCGTGGAGTGGATGAGTGGTCTTTCCTTGTGCGAGAAAGAGTCGCTGTGGACTGTGGAGTCCTTTTTAGTTAAGTGCATTATTAAACTGCATCAGTTAATCCTTGAAATATATCTAGAGGAGAAACGGTTTCCATAAGAAGAAAAAGAGGAAAAGGGTAAATAACGATGTGTTTGTCTTTTCAACTCAATTACAAAAAAAAGGTCTAGTCATTGTTTAATGCCCTTTCCCTTTTCTGATCTTCTTTGCAATAGGCTTGAATTGGCCCATGGCTTGGGACAGTTGGGGTTTATTATTGGGGTTGTTTGGGGTTCATTGGGTCATGCCCTTGTCCCCAAGAGTTGTGGTGGAGGCTTGGAGAGGGTGTATAGTGGGGGCCCAAGCTTGTGATTATTGGAGAGTTGCGCCCTTATGCCTTTGGTGGTGCTTATGGTTAGAGAGAGACAGAGATAGTTTGAAGGAAAGGAGAATCCTATTGGGACTCTTAAGTTCTCTTTTATTAGCACCTTTTCTTGTTGGGTTTTAGGGAGAAACTATAAATCTATAGAGGAAATTGTTGATGTTTTGGGCTCTCTGAGTGTTTAGAGGCGTTATTTGGCCTTGTGTAGTTTTTGAGGGATGCGTTTCCCTTCTGATCGCTTTTCTACAATCTTACTTTATCAAAAAAAAAAAAAACTACGCCATAGATCTTGGCATGGAAATATGCATTGGAGGTCTGCAAATTTATACCTCTGCATTTCCATAGGTATAAATTTTGAGAATTGCTAAAGTTCTGAATGCTATTTAGGACTCTTTTGGATAATATATAGGGCGGGGTTTGTGTAATGGTAAGGTTGCCCAATTGTGCATGAAGGTTTTCGGTTTCTAAATGGGAAACAGCCTACGTATGCAAAGGCAAGGTTGTGTATATTGACCCTGTAGACTCCGCGATAACTGAAGCCTCGTGCCTTAGACTAGCCCTTTTTTGAGGACTATTTGGATTGTTGATAATGCATCCTATCTATTGTTGAATGGTGTTGGTCCCACAGTGAGGACCATCTCATCTAACATATCTTTAATATACGTACTTTGAATTTCTAGATAACTATAAAAGAGTACATATAACAATGACACTACTATATTTTTTAGCCACATAAGTTTGACAATTTTTATTAATATGGAACAAAAATTATTTCCATATAGATTTATAAATTATATAATTACTAGACTCATCCAAAGAAGTTGAATTTTATGATACATTTAAGTAAGTGAATGAAGTCGGAATGAAGAAATGTGAGATTTAAATGAAATATTGGTTATTGAAGTTGGATTGAAATGTCCAAAAGGATGTTAGAATAGAAATATAAGTGATTTATTTTTTCAGAATATTTGTAGAAGTATCTTCTTGTCAGTAGGATGTCAAATGCATCGTTTACATTTCTGATTTCTACACGTATAATGCTCTTAGTTAATGTATTCATCTTATTTATTGAAGTTGGATTTAAAATTTCACTCCTTAAATGATTGAATAATTTTAAATTTCAAATCCAAATAGAACTTTGATATCTTTTGTTTGGTATCGAGTGGAATGATTCCATCCGGAACAGGACAAATTCATTGTGAATGATTGGCAATCTGTGTCATATAACTTGTTTATGTAAATTATGGACCACATTCCATGGTTATGACTCAGAAAGCTCTGTGACATATTGCTTTCTTTATGAAAATTATGGACCACATTCCATAGCTTTCATATTGACACAGAAGATTTTTATCTTTTCGGGAAAATAACTCCCAAGTACTTTAAGAGAGACTTGACATCTTTTGTTTGGTATTGAGTGGAATGATTCCATCTGGAACAGGAAAAATTCATTGTGAATGATTGGCAATCTCTGTCATATTGCTTGTTTATGTAAATTATGGACCACATTTCATGGTTGTCATATTGACACAGAAGGTTTTTTTCTTTTCCGGAAAATAACTCCGAAGTACTTTCAGAGATTCTTAAATCCTCCACCTTTCACTTTGAAATAAGAAGAGATACCATTAGATTACATGATTCTGTGATGTTTGACACATAGATAGATCACGTTACCATGTCTACAGTTTACTACCAGTAGACAAGTGTAGACAATTTGTCAATGACTTTGCTTTGTTTTATGAATTGACACAATAAACAACTTATTCAGATCAAAACACACAGAGAGAGTATTAAAAAGAGATAAAACCCCACTTGTTTGTTTTTAATATTACATTTGTCAATTTAATAACCATTAACCAATAATTTGGATATCTATTCAGTTTCTAATACCCTATGCATATTTTCTATTTCTAATACCATATAACATATTTGCATGGTAAAAGAATAATCATACATATTCCTTTAAAAGAGTAATCATACATTTTTCTTTGGCAATTTATACAGTTCAATCGAGCATTGGACTCTTATATGGACAGCCAATTTAAGTTCGATCAGGGGCTGGACAAGTCTCCAACCTCGATCCTCTTTGGCCCCAACTTTTTATCTTCCAAGTTCTATCAACTATCCCCACCCGAGGTAATCTTATTTGATGCTCCATGATTATCTATATACGTGTGTGTATATATATACATACATACATACATATATATATAGCTATATTTGTAGTCCCAACAACATTTTGATCTCAATACAGTTCCCTTTTGACATAAATTTTTTGAAGATCAAATGGTGTGAGCTAATGTTATATCTTTTGGCCATGGTTGAACTGAAACAGGATTTTACTTTGGCAAGCTTGTTGGTGAGACCACTTGCTTCATTTAACGAGGCTGAAGTGTTGAAGGAAATTTCTCTTACTAAGGAGAAATATGGATCGGTCCGTCGAGTTTATATTGTGAGTGACCAAGATAATGTGATTAAGGAGGATTTACAGAGGTGGATGATAGAGAATAATCCAACGGACGAGGTGCAGGCGATCTCCGGTTCAGATCACATGGTGATGTTCTCCAAGCCTCAGGAGCTCTGCACCTTCCTGCAGGAGATTGCTGTGAATTATTGCTGATTCATTGTGTCACTCCTAGAGTCCTACCTAGCAAGTAACTTCGGATATGCGGAATCCCTCGCAAATTACACATATTATTTAAATTCATGTATTTTTGCACCCTTAAAATCAAACTTTGAACGTCCGAGTTTACGGCTCGCCTCAGGAGACTCTTTACCCCGTATATATTAATGATTTGACATACAAATGTGAAGATAATAGATAGTATCCAGTTTTAGTTGGATGAACATTCTGCCATAAATCCCAGATTTAGGCAGAGCTTACAGAAACTGAATATTTCTCAGCAATCTCTTGGATGCAGAGGCAAAGCTCTTTGGGTTTGGATGCAGAGGCAAAGCTCTTGAATGCAGAGACAAAATTTAAGTTGTCAGCTTCAGCTATCAACTTCACTTCTTTAGCAGGACTGTTCTGAATCATCCATCTCTGGAATTCCTCTTTCAACAGTTGATCTTCTTCACACACTACGAAAACCCTATTCACCGACCCGAATTTCTCCTCTGTTAGCAGAGATTCCTTGCCCAAGTCTTCCATGAACAACCAACATTTTGGCTAATTCCAGGTCCTGCAATAATCCGTTGTACCAGTCATTTTACTAGATTTTGCTTGTGGCACACTCACCTCAGATTGACAATGTTGATATAGGAAACTTGACATGTAATCTGGACCAAACGAAAACTTGGGGCCCGATAAGGATTCCATTGGGGTCCTGCTGAAAAACTAGTTTCACCATTGGGGTAAGAAAAATATTTTCCTTATAATTTAATTATAAGTTATTCCAAACATAAAAATGAGATTTAATTACAAATCCAATCCCATTTCTTTTTCTTTTTCAATTCCTATATCCAAAAAATAAAAATAAAAAATGATTTCAAACAAAGAGGAAAATAACAAATAGATGATTTTGAGTAAATCCCAGGAAGGTCTAAGGGTGCAAAAGATTTGGTTCGGTTTGGTTCTGGGATAATCCAAAACCAAACCAGTCACACAATTATTAGAACCAAATCAAACTGTTAGCATCAATAAAACTGAACCGTAGATGAACATTCGGTTCTATAATTTAGACTTTCTTATATGTATATGCACAACGAGGAATATATATATATATATATATATATATATATATATATATATATATATATATATTTATATAATTTGACATAAGGCTTAACCAAGATGCTTACTTCTTGAACTAAAGTTGCTGGTGGGGATGTGTAATTTGGCATGAAGGCTGTGACATAAACTGCTAACAATATATTGTTTGGAAAACTTTCCATGGCTAGAGAAATGACAAAGCCACCAAAACTGTGACCAACCAAGACCACCTTCTCATCATGAGGGAGAAAGGCCATGAAGTCCATCAGTGGTTGCAGGTAGTCGGAGATGGAAGCAATCTCATCATGCCGCTTAGGGTTGATGCCGCTAGCGCCGAGGTCCAAGGCTGTGGCCGGCCAATTTGAGCAGAGTGACAAGCTTGTACCAGGACCAAGCTCCATGGCACATGCCATGGACTAAAACAAAGTGCTTCTCGCTCTCCATTAATTATTGTCAGTTTCAATTTCTTCTCATTAGTTTTTATATAGGGCGTGTTAGGCAACACCTGATCAAAATGCATCATTCAAGTTTGTTGCTAGCAGTTTTGATAAATAGGTAAAACAAATTTCTTTAAATGATGTATTTTAATTAGATGAGTAAACTAATGACACAATTTTAATAAATTATTGTATTTACTTTGCCATATCTCAAAATTTTTTCTCAAAAATACCAGCTGGACGGTGTAGCGTTGACTATATAGTCCTATTTAGTTCTCAAAATTTGTCTAGTTAGTCATCTTAGTGGTTGCCACGTGGAGTATGCTTTGTGGGAATACACGTGTCAGTTGTGTTTTATATAAATGGATACATATAATGGTTGGTTAGGTTAGGTGGAGCGTGGCAATGGTTGATGGATTAATTGACAAAATTACTAGGGTTAGTACAGAATCCACGGTCTATTGCAAATTCAAATTTGTATTCTTCAAATCAAGCAATCTTATCGTTACCGCAAAATCCATCTTAATTAATGGACAATATAATATTTTCTTCATGTACATATTTCATAGAAAAAATATATCTTATGAATTACTATTTTCTCTGTCTTATATTAGACGTTCCTTTTGGGAGGTTGAACTTTTCAAGTGAACATGTAATTATTGCATTGTTTTCTTTGAAAATTATTATGTTATCCTTTCCAAGTTTGAATATGTCTATAATCAAGTATGTAATTTTTTTTCAGCTTTATCCAGCAATTTCATCGGACCTTCAGAATTGTACTCTTGTGCATAACCTCCTATTTTCAATGCACTCGTTGATCATGGTTTCCCAAGTCCATCCGAGCATTTAAGTCCTACAGTGGCACACTCTCTGACCTTGTTACCATTACCGTGTAGCAAAGATTTCAATCCAAGCACTCATAAGACTTACAAAGATTGTTGCACTGCAGTTAAAGCACTTAAAAACATACTACCAGGTTTTCGAGCACTCGAAACCTTCCTTTGAGCGCTCGAAGGTTGCAAAATGCTCACTGTCTATTTGTCGAGCGCTCGGAACCCTTACTTCGAGCACTCGAAGGTTGCAAAACGCTCAAAGAGAAGATTTTTGCCTTTGCCGAATTTTCGAGCACTCGAAGAAGGACCTTCGAGCGCTCGAAGCCTGAATACCACGGCCCAAAGCCTACTGCCCAATCTTCGAGCACTCGAAGAGCCTTCTTCGAGCGCTCGAAATGACCCCCACCTTTTTAAAACTGCCTTTCCCTCTCCCATTTGTTTCGGCTACCTCATCCACTTCCCCCATCACCCCACGACCTCCTACCTCCACTCCCTCCATAACTCCCCTAACTTTCCCTCTCCCTCCTTTCTACACCCATCTCCTATAAATACCCATCATCTCTATCCTTCCTTCTTATCTCATCCTTCATTCTCTCCATTCTCCTCTCAAGGTATATGTCTCTCTTCTTCTTCTTTCATTTTTATTGTTCTTGAATTGAGGAGTATGGGTATTGAATTTTTGAGGTTTAGGTGATGATTGTTGATGTTGCTCTAAGCTAGAGAGCATTTTTGTCTAAACATTTTGGGTTTTATCATCCATAGCTCTTTCTCTCACCTTCACTCTTTCTTTTTGCCCGCCAGGTGCTCGCTGAAATTCCCCATCCACGTCCACCTCTCCAAATGTCTCGTGCCGGACCTTCTCGCTGTCCTAGGCCCTCTGCGGATGCCCCCGCTGTTAATCGTGAGCAACCCCGAGAACCTTGGTTCATAAAAAAGCTCAACTATGAACTTCTCTTTCCGCTCACGGATGTCTTTGCCACTCTTCCCACCATTTCTTGGGCTGTCGCGGAATTAGCTAACCGGCGCATTCAGCACATTTGCAAGCCCGTTACAAAGATTGTCTATCCCCGTGTGGTGCGCCTCTTCTACCAAAATCTCAGTTGTCCTGAAGGGCCGCCCATCTCTCTCACCACATCCATTGATGGTGCCCCTTATTCCTTTACCTTGGCTGACATTGTGGAAGTCTCCGGCTGTCCTCTGGAGTGCCCCGATAATATTGTAAATTGTGAGAATCTCCCTTTATATGAGGAGCCTGATAATTTAATTATGGAACAGGTTGTTACCGCCATTTGCAACGTGGATGATCCTCATAGACCCCGGAGCTATACACTAAAATCCACCCTCCTTGAGCGCGTGTGGTTCTTTGACGCTGTGCTTAAGCACAATATCTGCCCCTTGGTGCACAGCACCGAGCGCCGAGGTCTGATGTTACAGGCATTGTATGCCCTGGACCAAGGCCAATGGATCTCTATTCCGGAGCTCATTTGGAGCCAATTTATGCGGTACTGGGACGACTGCCTTAACGCCCAGCATCAACGGGCTTAAGCTTAGGCTTTGTCATTGCCTTTCTTCATCACCAAGCTTCTGAAGCACAAAGGCTTCATTGTTCCTCCCCATGAAGAAAAGGGCAAAAAGATTCAAACTTTTACCATCTAACGTTGGAACAATGTTCTTGGCCATTCTCGACCCCATCAGCCCGCTGCTCTTCCATCTCCCTGCTTTCCATCTCCTCCTTTTTCTGAAGATGATCCCATGGCTGAGGATGCTGACTGGGAAGCGCCCCCTGTTGCCTCTCAGCAGGACCATGCTTTTCTGCGCGCTGGCATCGCCGGTATCCATGCTCGGATGGATCGTTTTGAGCATACCTTGGTAGACTACACTAGGACAGTCGGAGAGGACTACTTGCGTGCGGAGGAAGACCGTCGTGTTGCAGCTGACAACTGTCGCATAGACAAGAAGAAATGCGTGAAACCAAATCTCTCCTCAATGCTATCCTTGCCCGTTTTCCCCCTGGCCCGTAGTTTATTCGCTATTCGTGATCCGCCTTTTGTTCCCATGTTTATGTTTTTATTTTTTGTTGTTGTTCTAGTTTTTGAACTTGGGAATTTGTTTTTGTGATAGTTGATTTGGTTGGACATGATAGAATTTCCATTCCTTTTGTCATCATGCCCACCCCCCCTTGTGAATGCAAATTCCCCTTTTTATTTTATTGACTGTTAATTATTTTCTTTTACTATTTCATTGTTAATTATTTTCATTCCCCAGCTGTTTTTGATCCCTTGCAGGTTGCACATTTCAAGTTTGGGGGCCTCTTTGAGTTGGCCTTTGCATGGGAGCTTTTTGTCATCTCGCCATGCACTTTCCTCCTATTCTGGGTAATTTTGTTTTTGTTATCCTCTCTACTTTTTCGTAGATGTTAATTGTCCCACATTGAGGACAATGTGCTATTCAAGTTTGGGGGTGCAATATTGCATTTTTGGTAGTACATTTTTGTAAAGCAATGATAGTGTAATTTGAAACTTGTTAGAGATGAAGCATATGCTTAATACCTTGTATATAGAAGCAATTGTTAAGTTTTGAAAATAAAGAAAACAAATTTTGAAGTTGAAATGATCATGTGGATGCAATTTAGTCTGTATAAATGTTTCAATTAAATTCTCGCTGGATCTTATACTCTTTTATGCTTCACAATGCACAGATGCACACTGGAAACTTAACTGTGAGACATGCAACTGGATTGACCTTGATTTTGACCTAGTTACTCTGAATTGATGAACCTAATGGATGGATACCTTTGCCATGATAAAAATAAAAAATAAATAAATAAATAAATAAAAGAAAGAAAGAAAGATAATGACCAGTTTGAGTTTGTAGCCTTTCCAACTT